ACCGTCTGCGGTCCTGGCTGCATGGTCAAGGCAGGCACAAGGTTAGTCTGGGTGTCTACGCGTTTTGGTTGGCTCGGCGCTGGGGTGGGTACGGTCGAGCAAGGGTGAAGTGGGGGCAGGCTTTTGCAGTCGGTGCTATGCTCCCTCGGGCAGTTTCGAACTGCGCAGCTACCTGCTTTGGGAAGGGTTTCACGCCCACGAGGCCTAGCAGAGGGGGAAGGTTATGGCGGAGGGGGGGGGCGACTTCATCATCACTCAACTGATTGATCACCATCTGGACACCTAGGTACCTACCTACCTGGGACCTGGGTATCTAGATTTCTTAGTACCTGATCAGCATCACAGACGGACAATTACTCAACGAGTCAATTGTGGGAGGTACCATCGCTGTTCTGCTTTCGACATGTCTCTATACGCCAGGCCTCGTGGCTTTGGACACCTTGAGAGTGAACTAAATGGAATCCAAGTCAGACATCGCACAGTAGCAGTTTGATGTCGCGGCCAACTCTTGAACTCGACGAAGGATCCCAAATATTGCTTTTTCCCCGGTCGGCTAACAAGGTCATGGAGAAAACGGAAGGTCGCAGTTTGCTCTTTCTGATCCGTACTGCGAGGTTAGCACCAGCCTTAGCGCTGCAGGCCAAGAAGGAAAACCCCGTTTGAGTTGAATATTGCTTAACACAATAGATACTACCCAGACTACATGGGTAGGTACCTACGTGCGCACACCCCGAGTGTGGTAGTACACCAAGCATCGAGAGGAGACAACACCACGCATTCTGCGACCAACCCTCCTGTCTGCCACTACCTCTCGACTGGTGGTTTGGCGTAGTCATGGCCACTCCCTTGGGCACACACACACACACACACGCATGCACGCACGCGGATACAAGTGAAGGCAACATGGTTTCAGCCGAATGCTCTGCAACCTCTGTCAGCCTGTCCAGCGCTCCAGCTGGCCAGTGAACACGACCGCGTGGGGGTATCCTCAACCAAGCCATGTCATCCTTGTGCTCTGGTAAACTCCCTACCACCTATGAGAAGCTCATGGGGCGGTTTGCCCGGTCGCGAGCTTTGAGCACGTACAGCCCCAGTGCATATGTACACTCCGGTAAAATCTGGCCAACATGTAACTCTGCCATGCAGTACGCCCTAACCTAACCACATGCATGTGCAGCGGTGGGAATCACAGCTCTTTGTCCTATCAGCAGCCCGTCGTGGAGTACGAGGCAGCCAGGATCTACTGTACAATACTGTACTGTATTGTACTCTTCTGTGTTCATTCCTCCCCAAAGCTCGCATTCACTTTTCCAGTCCGCCCGCTCAAGGACACTGTAATCGTTCGCTGGCCTCCGTCTACTAACTGGGCATTGACTCTCCCGGTCAATGTTGACAGAAGAGCTTCGTTACTGTACGAAGGGGCGACACGCCAAAGTTGGGCGCTTGACCGGTGGGGATTTTTCGACTGCCGCAGAACTCAGCTCCTTCTTCCCTCAAGCTTGGAGCGTCGCCTGGCTGCCTTATGGCTGTCTTGAGCATGCAGTCAGTCTCCATGAGCGTGCACGACATTTTTTCTGTCCGCTGACGGGCGAAGCAAGTCAGTGTCCTGTGGACTAATGGACATACTTCACAGGGCAGTAAAGCATGCGGGCCGAGCCCTGCGCTGGCAATAGCTGACAGTGGGCAAGGCCGTACTCGTTCGTTGTCGACTGGCCTCACTGGGCCCTCCATACAGGACTCAAGGCCTCGCGAAAGATACACGACAGGGAGCTGCAGGTGTAGGACTTCTCCTGGTGCATAGGTCAGGTTCGACAGGAGACTGCATTGGGGTCCCGACGCCGGAGAACATGTCCGAGGGAAACACAAACATATCAATGCGTCCGTTAAGTACGCCGGGCTATGGACCCCCCAAAAAGGAGGCAGGTCGACAAGCAGGCGCAAGCCTGGCCTCGCCTTTGCCGTCGAGAAAATCACCCATACTGTGTACATCCTGCACCGTCCACTACAGCCACCAAAGCTAATACAACAAGCGCCAACTGAGGGCGTCCACATGAAGTGATCGGAGCGAATCATTCGTGCGCTCGGGAAGCAACCTGGCTCCTGAAAGGCAACATGTCCGACAGGGCTCAAAAGCAGGAGGGGGTCTCTCACAATCGGAGACACTCAAAGGTTGACCAGGGCTGCGGCTAGCATTCGACCGTTGCTGCACCACGTACACATACGGACTCATAAACTACAGACGCCCATCCCACAGAACTGGCTGGGTCTGTTAAGAACGAGCATGCGATCCTCCATACCTCTATGAGATGTCAGGACACTAGCCTTCACATGTCCGAATAGCTAGTGAACAGCTAGATCATTGACTCTAAGGAGCCATCATTGACGTCCTCCCTCGCCGGCAGGCGAACAGTTCGTTGGAAAATCCACCTACCACACCCTGTTCGAATTCCAGCGCGGACTAAACACCCTCCCCGTAGTGTCTTGAGCCGCCACCTATGTTGGTACGTCTGGATTGGCTCTCTACCGATTCTCATACAGAGCTTAATCTTCACGCGTCCGTTAAAAGACGTGTTTTGGCAACATCGAAGGAGCAAGTTTCTGGGCCTACAAAACATATATGCTCGCACATATGTTGAATACGCTGTAGAGTTGCAGACTTCGCAGCTGGCACTGCCGGTCTTGGCCTTCGTGGCTCGTTGGCGACACAGATTACGGAGTGCTGCCCGTTTTATCTGCCCATGTCTGGCTTCAGTATGTCACTGCACTTAGGGAGCAAGGTGGAAACGGAGCAACACGTCACTGTCCTCTATCGAGATTGGAAGACGGATTGGGGGACCGCTACTGATTGCTACCATTTCACTGGACCCTTGAGCATTTTTCGCCTTGTTATTTCTGCTTGCGGATCATGTACAATCATTTATGCACAAAGCAGATCTCGCCTTGGGTTCTGTTGAAGAGTCCAGTTACCATAACTGAAATTTCGGAGCATTGGGTGGGTAGGCTTCCTGCCGAAACGCAGGCTCCAACACCCTCCATGGAGGCACTCCTGCTGCAATATCCCGGATCACAGCCTGCGCCCTCCTGCACTCCAAATCGTCTTGAGTGCCCAATCCCACCCACCCGGAGTCAATGCGACGTTGCCGCCAGCAGGATCAAAATGATCCGGGAACGACGAGCAGCAGCGCCGGGTGTCTTGCGGTTGCGGTCCCTGCCGGCAGAAGCAGAGGCCACCCAAGAGCTCAATGCGCCGAAAGCATAACAGTGCCAGGTCAAGCGCCTAGATTTTTCACTTCTCTGGTGTAGACGAGGATGATCGGCCGGACTCCACCAGCAGGCCCCAGCTCACCTCGGCTTTGTCATTGGCATTGTCCAGCTACCGTGGGAGTCACCAAACCTCACCAACATGCTGGGAACCCAGTCTACGTCCATCCAGTAGTCCTGGTCAAGGCGCCTGACCCGTTATGAGCAGACGAGTGGCCTGCCGCAATGAGTATGTGATATGCGATCCAGCTTGAGAAGAGAGCTAGGGGGGGTGGGAGGACCGAATGGGCATATCACACCGCCAAACTTCCCGGCAAGGGGCCATCCCTTGAAAAGACATAGGAGAATGGATGCTGGGGTGATCAATTTCTACACAATCGGCTTCAAAACGGCGCAAAGCCCATATGCTTGGTCGGTATGAAACTCTAGCACAATCCTCCTTGGAGTAAACAGATAGCCGGCGGCGACAGCTTCTAGTCCAGCCAATGCCTCCCCGGAGACTCGAGCGGGGAACGCCTTGCCTGGAAAGAACCGAGTAAGGTAATACAGTGTTACCAAGGTTGTCGTTCGAGTCAAGAGGGATTGTCGGTTGGTTGAGAGGTTGTCTCTGTGCAACTTGACCGGCCAAGCCACAAATGACCTGTCATGGGAGATGGCCTGGTGATTGGCCCTGGAAACTTCAGGCTTCCCAACCTGATCTATGATCCATGCGCGTCTTTGAGAAGTCATCGCGCCGGAGAATTGCACCAGCCGAGGGCGCGCTGGAGATCAACGAGGGCTAGTGAGCACTTGCTGAGCAGGGCAAAGATAATAGGGGTTGGGGAGGGGGCCAAATGACGAGAACGCAGCCTGCACGGGCTGGTGAATAGAATATGTGGTTAGGTGGCGAGGCCACTGTGCCTCGATGTGGTTGAGAGGCTTGGGGGCAGCCTCACCAGAAATAGGGCGATTGAGAACGGGTGCAGCGAACCGGCCCGACTGTGTGTGTAGCAATGCTAGCAAGCGTTGCTCTTGGGCTGGATGGACTCTGGGCAGTCATGAGCTGGGTGCCGCGTTTGGCGAAGAGAAGGGTGTTTCGCGACCAGCTTCCACGGCCCGTCGGCAACGTGTGAGGCATCGTAGTGTGATGCACCGTCGACTTTGTAGAACTCTCGACGTTGAATACGTCCTGCAAGGTTCGTCGGGTCTTCCAGCCTGACAGGGCGGAAACACGGACCTTCAGCTCCAGAATTCCCACTTCATGAGAGAGGTACCCGTTTCTTTTTCACAGGCGCACGTACAGGTACCCCCGATTTCATGAGGTGCGCACCCTGGCACAGTGCCGCAGTAGTAAGCATGGTAGCACAGTAATGACTGTTGATAATGTATCTGAGCATGAAACAAAGCATCAAGTTCATGTTGATTATTTTCCAGTGCTTTCACCGATACAAGATACAGCACCATTTTCTACAACTTGCACGTTCTCGATCAAGTACCTAGTGATGTCTGTGCAGCCTACAAGTACCTAGGTAGTTTCACAATACGGGAACAACCCTGGAGAGCACACGCCCCAGACTTTGTAGACTATTTACTGTAGTCTACCTAGGCGAGCTAGGTACACAGGTGCCTACCGGTACCCGCCTGCATGTGGAGCCACTTTTTTTTCCTCCCATCAAAGATACCCGCGTCATGAGATGATCTGCTTGCAGTGAACCTCCACCATCTGCTAGGGCAAGGCATCCTCAGTATCGACAACAACCATGGCTCCGATCGCTCGCAGGTTAACATACTGCGCACCATCCTACCTTACAGCAGGAAGGCTTATACATGGATTGCCACAGCGGGCGCCTTGCGCGTCCCCTCCAGCTTGCGTCGCCCTGCTCCGTCAAAAACGCTGCCATCTAACCACCTCCGCCACGCCAACTACCCCCGCAACCTCACCACGGCCAAACCGATCACGACGGCGTTCATTGCCCGAGAGTTCCTCCCTGCTGTCCCACCGCCGCTCGTATCACTCCTACGACCACCCGCCTTCTCCTGGCCTGTTCTCCCCGACCGAGCGCGCAATCTTGACCGCAGCATACGCACACATTCCTCAGCATGGCTTCACACTAAAAGCCCTGGCTCTCGGCGCGAGAGATGCTGGCTACCTGGATATAAGTACCAACCTACTCACCGACGGAGTCTTCACCCTGGTCCAATGGCACCTTGTGGCACAGCGGGAGGCTCTGGCCGGAAAGGCGAAGCGCCTGTTCGAGGATGAGGAGGCCCCGAGACTCGGTCTGGGAGCCAAGGTCGAAATGTTGACGTGGGAGAGGCTCATGGGAAACAAACATGTCATTGGAAAGCTCCAAGAGGTGAGTCGAGACAATCTCAACACGCACCAGAATAGCTGACAAGAGATCTCGCGGAGCAGGCACTAGCCATCATGGCTCAACCGTCCTGCGTCCCGGTATCCCTCGGTGAGCTGGCCAAGCTTTCCGACGAGATATGGTTTCTCGTAGGCGATACGGCCGTGGACCCTTCCTGGTACACCAAGCGCGCGTCATTGTCCACCATCTATGCATCAACCGAGTTGTTCATGACGACCGACCACTCCGATGGATTTTCCGAGACGAGGAAATTCCTCCAGAGGAGACTAGCCGAGACACAGGAGATTGGCGGTACGTTGAGGTCAATAGGGACCTGGGTGGGCTTTACAGCCAGTGCGGGCTTAAATGTCCTTAGGAGCAAGGGCCTACGGATATAGCACGGCCATGGAGAACTCTACTTGAAGAGACCGTCAAACTATAAGCTGGGAACACACACCAAGATGAGACTGGTCTTTAATGAAGGCCGCTCTGCTGCCGAGCCCTCGGCGTCAAACGAGTGTTGAAGATCATAGGACTGTGCCTTGACTGCAGCGAGTCGTCTAAGAATAGCAGTGCTCAGGCCAGGAGATGTAAATAATGCTACGAGAAATTCGCGATGCCAAATGCAAAGCATCGCAGCCGCAACCCCCTCTGCCGGGCCCAACGACCATGGATCCCGTCACAAGTGCAAGGTGGCGTAGCCTCACTTTATCAGGGCAAAATACACAGATCACCGTGTCTAAAGGTCTGCAAGCCGTCTTTGACGGGGGTCCGTCAACCTGGAGTCGGTCAGTCAATTAGAGTCTTACTGGGAACTAAGATCGGAAAACCATTCTAACGTACCTGGTGACCTTCACATCCTTGTCCAAGCTCGCCCGTCCCTCAATGGCGTTGGGTGTGATGAGTATGTACTGCCGGCTGATCGAGCTGCGCGCGGCGGAAATCTGCAGTGTGTCAGTGACAGCGTCCCTTCAGCATTATGGGGTATCTCCTCCGTACCAGCATGTTCGTGCTGATGGCGCGATTGACGTTGTCCATGAAGACGTCGAACTCGTCCAAGCAGCGGAGTGGTGAGCCCATGGCTTCCCATATCGCCAGCAACAAACAAATGGAAGAGAAAGACTTCTCGCCTCCAGAGAGTGTCTTGGTGTTGCGAGCCGCAGCATTTCTGCGAGTCTTGTCCGGCTCGACTTGTACTTCGAGAGTGTGAGCCTCATGATCCAGTATGAGCCTGCCCCTGAAGTCACGCTCGCTGAGCAGGAACATGAAGTTGGCGCGGGAGTTCGAAGAGATGTAGCGTTGGAACATTCTCCACTTCTCCAGCCGATTCCTAAGGAGATTCTTGAACCCCTTGTTGGCCGAGCTGACCAGGTCTATCTCCTTCTTGAGCTGCTCGAGGTCTGCTTTGGCTGTGTTCGCTCGAGCTATAACCTGCTCGTCAGTCGTGCCGCGTTTGCGCTCGCGCTCTTTGAGAGTCCTTCGCAAAGACTGATACTTGGTCAATATTGCTTCGTATGTCTCTCCTTCACCAACGTGGGCCCGTTGTGGACACGCTTCTGATGCTTCTGCGGTATGTCCGCGGACTGTCTCCTCCAGGCGCTCTCGCTTGCCCTCCAGCCTGGCCTTCTCGTTTTGCGCCATCTGCAGGTTGTCATGGGCCTCGTTCTTCTTTTGCACTGAGATGCTGCGTGAGTCGGTGCACCTCTTCACTTTATCTTCAGCCTTCTTCAATCTCGCCTCGAATTCTCTTAGGTTTTTTTTCTCGCTCTTCAAGACCCCTCTCAAGGCCTCGACCCGGCCATTCTGCTCTGCTTTTCTGAGAGTAATCGAACCGTATTGACCGCCGTGGAAGTCGTGATCGTCCTGAGCCTTCTTCAGGTCTTCGCGAAGTATCTCGAGCCGCCCATCAGCCCCATCGAAGGAGTCAATGTCACGTTGAATGTCTTCGATCTCCACCTGGATCTCTCGTAACCTCTGTTTGTTCTGGTCCACGGTCTTCTTAGCTTCTGCCAATTCCCGCCGGCACTGCTGAACAGTCTGCTGTTGCTGGTGCTTCTGATTCCCTAGTTCTCTCAGCTCCAGTTCGAGATGGTTCATTCTCTCATTTTGAACAGATGTTTCTTGGAGGGAGTCACTCCGCAGACGAGGCTTCTGGTTCCGATCTGGCGGGCGGATCGGAGAGGAGTTGATCCTATTTGCATTAGCAACAACGCGCACACCCCATCCAAACCCCCTTTCTTTGAAGAGATGAATGCAGGCAGCAACGTTGCGTGGAGGTGCAGAGCCAACCACCATGATGCGATCAGCATCCTGCTTTGTTTCAACGAGTATGGTCTGCTCAATACGATGATTGATGATCAGTTGGGACCGAATGAGTGGCTGATCGATCTTGAGGATCCGCAAAATCGTGTCGAACTTCTCCTCGGGCTCTGTCTTCGAGGTGTCAATCGGTCTGCTGTTTCCAATGAAGATAGGACACCTGTTCAAGCCCAAGCGCTTCATCATGTCACGTAGCCGCTGTTGGTCGCGCTTGCTCGTGACTATGAATCCATTCAGCGTCTCCCCAAACGTTCTCTCCAAAATGGGCGACCAAACGGGCTTCTTGACCTGGACGTGGGCGCCGATGGGTCCGATGGGCTTGTTATCAAAGTTTGCATCGTGCTCGATCATCCTGAGTAGGTTCGGCACCTGTTGCTCGTACCCCTCATAAAGCGATGCTTGGCCTCGCTCCAGCTCCTTGATCCTGTTCTGTGTCGCTTTGATATCGTCCCGCTTCTGGACGATGTACTTGTCGATAGTTTGAGACTCTTTGTTTGCGGCCTCTAAGGTCTTGTTGATACTAGGGATGCGCTGCCTGGCATCTTCGGACTCCGCCTCGACTTCACGGGACTTGGCCTGGGCCGCCTCCAACTCTTCAGCCTTGCGGGCATGGGCATCTCCGTTCAAGTCTTGCAATCGTTGTTCTTCCACCTGTATCTTGTCCTGATATACCTTGACGCTGTTCAACGCATTTTGTGCCTGAGATCGGGCATCACGTTCGTCTTTGTGGATTTTCTCAAGGTCCTTTTGCGCATCGCCAACTTCCTGTTGCGCCTTATCCACGTTAGTCTTGAGGACCTCCCCGTCTTCTTTGGTGACTCGCAGAGCTTCCTCGGCCTGTGCCAGCTGGTCATCCACGACCTCTAGCTCTTGAGTCCTCTGCGTGAGCACGTGCTGTGCGTCCGCAACCTCTCCATCGGCCTGGTCGATTCTCCGTTCGTTTCGCTCTGCTTCGCGCTCGGCTTCAACCACCTGGGCCCAGATCGCTTTTTGAGACAGCAAGCGACACTCTTTGCGCATGTCCTCGGCTTGCAAGAAGATTTCATACTCCCTTCTCGACTTCTCATACTCCCTTTGCGCGTGTTCCAACTTGATCTCGAGGTCGCCTTCTTTGTGTTCATTCGAGGTTGCGTACTCTTCGATGACGCGGTAGTCGTCGTCAAGCTGTTGCAGCTGGACGCCCTGGAGAAAGAACTTGTATTTGAGCTTAGCCGAGGCCTGGTTGAGAAACTGCCGTGCGTTGTCTTGAGAAAGAATATTCAATGGATTGTCGACCTGGAGACAGTAATACTCGACGATCTGGTCCACTTCGGACTTCTTGTCTGATATTACCTTGCCTGTCTGGGATTTGAGGCGAAAGCCGCTCCCACCATTCCGATTGAAGTGTCTTTCGACGATGATGACGTCGCCGTAAGTGTCGCGCTGATATGCATCATGGCCTTGGTTTTTGATCTTGACAATCAACACTGAGCTTTCTGCTCCCTCCTTGATAAAGTTCTTCAAGCTTCCGCCGCGATTTGTGGAGCTTGCTTTCGCGCCCAGGCAGAGGGTTATCGCGGTGAGAACCGCGCTTTTGCCGCTTCCATTCTCACCAACAATAAAGTTGAGCAGTGGGCCCAGCTCGACATGTAGTCTCTTGTGGCACATGAAGTTGATGCATTCGATGCTTTCAAGGATGCCGTTCTCAGCAGCGTGGTTCAGATCCCCAGCGCGATTACTTCGACGGGCAAGGCTCTTCTGTTGCAGCCTCTGAGTGGCGCGCCGGTCGTCCTCGTCGGCATGCTCCAGATGTTTGAAGCCTGCATCTCGCATGATTTCATATTGCGTAGCTGCTGGTTCATCGTAGCGATCTGCTGCCTCTTCCATCGAGACATCACCGTCTTCTTCCGTGGATGCATTTGAAGGTTCGCGAATGGCCCTAGCCCCGGCTCTGGGCGGCGCAGACTTCTTGTGGACATCATTCGGCTGCGAGAGACGAGCGCGTTTCCTCTGCTACACACCTCATGTCAGCTGGGGCAAAGCTTGTGCCATGTACCGTGTTCGCTGACGACAAGCACAGAAGCTTGGACGGGGGCAGAAGAGACGGCAGGACGTACTGGCTCGCTTCGCAGCTCAGAGCTTGCCTGTCGAACATCCACGAGCTCATCCTCTTGTTCGCTGTCGTCGCCGGCTTCTTCGCGTCGACCACGCTTTCGAGGCGCGGCGCTGATGTTGTTTACCGTAAGTCCAGGCATTTTTAGAGATAAGAATGACCCTCGCAAGCCTCAATTTCGAGATCACCCTGCAGTATCGGGGAGGCTGCTATGGCGGTATGTTGAGTAGGTGAGTGATTGCACAGCATCGCTGTCGCAATCGCGGTTGGGCGCATTTACGGGAGACGCGCACCGCGTTTTGGGACGTGGGTACCTGGGTAGGTACTGCACCGCTCCGCTGTGGTTGAGGTACTTGGTTTTTGGGGCAGCGCTAACAGCAGACGACAGCGCAGGTCCAGCTGTTCCGAGGCTCCAAGGTTCCAAGGTTGTATGAAGAATGTGTGCAGAAGGCAGGCTTTCCCTGCAGGTGCCTGCAGCCCAGGATGCTGAGCGTCAGACTTAAGACAGATAGATAGATAGATAGATACCTGGAAACGGTGGTGCTGTTGTGCGGTGGTGCTGGTCCACATAAATGCTATAGTAGGTGGATGTTGGCCAGCCTACAGCAGGCCTGCACGTTCTTACGCCCCACCACTCACGACTGTACCTGCATATCACTTCGGAAAGCCAAGGGCAAGGCTTCATTCCACTCGGCCTGACAAGAGCCACCCACAACAGCCCCTTGACGGACGAGTTGTCGGACGAGAATGGCAGAACAAGCTGGCCCCCAATCAGCAGGTACTTCAGATGGCACATTCAAGGGCTTCGAAAGATGTCTGCCCGAGAACTGTGTCGAGTACATGCTGTTCATCATTGACAGCCAACTCCAGCCCCAGCAGATATTCTCGCGCCTGGAAACTGTACGGAAGGCCGCTGTGCAGCTCTCGAGCCAGCTCACAAGTGAATATATATGGCAGCGTGATGCCTTCGGTCTCGAGGTCACAACCGACAAAGGTGCGGATACGAACCCTCCTCCCCCGGGCCGCTGCAAGGTTGATCTCATTGACAGAAACCGCCAGGCCTGGTCTATCTGCACGGCATCACCGACTATGGAGATTCGATAGAGGATGAATGGCTCATTGTCTACATACTTCGCGAGCTGACTCAAAAGTTTCCCGACCTGTGGGTGCGGGTTTCCGATAGCGATGGCGAGTTCCTGCTTGTTGAGGCTGCCAATGTGCTACCAAAGTGGTTGAGCCCGGAGAACGATGCCAACAGGGCGTGGGTACACGGCGGCCAATTGCGCATCATACCTCTTACCCTAGATGTTCGCTCAAACCCTGAGAAGAACATGATGCTCTCCGAGGCAGTCGGTATTCTCCAATCCGCTGCTCACACACTCATACACTCGCCCTTTGTGGAGGCTGAGGCTTTCTACCGACTCGAAAAGTATCCCGCCCAAATCCAGGACTCTATACACCACGCCGTAGTCTCAGTGCCGAGGCGACTCGCATATTTGATCCATGAGGTTCCAAAGGCCATTGCGCCGGCTGTGGAGGCATTCTACCTCAGAGATCCCATCGCCATGAAACCCTTAACGTCATCTTCTGCCGACTTACTTATCTTTCCGCCGAGGGACTTCGTTGATATGAGCGTCAAATTCACAAAGGTTCTTTACGCACAGCTGAAGTCTCAGGTCTTTCCGGCTCCTTCTTCCTGGAATGACGTTTTTGTGTCTTCAGAGAGGCAAGCAGCCGCCGACGGCAGCAGCGCCGCCCAAAAGAAGCACGCAATGCTTGAGCTAGGCATGAAGGTCACTTGCGGGTTTGAGATGCTGGCAAAAACCACAGCCAAGAATAATAATCGTGCGGTCCGGGAAATTGCCCTCCTACTAGAAGACTTGGCCGAGGATGGAGACTCGGTCCTCCCCAAGGATGCTGACATCGCATCTTGGAAGGACTGCACGCGCGATGACGACGATTCATGGATGGACATAGACTTTCAAGATTTTGATAAGGAGCTTGACGGCAGGAGAGACACCCCAAAGGCGGGCGCTTTCGGTGACGCCAGTGCTCATGCTGATCTTCGAAGGATCGTATCGCGCTTCGAGGCGTTCCTAAATGACGATAGCGCGGGCCTTGACGGAGCCGAACATGATGAGATGGATGAGGATGATGAGGACGAAGACGACGAAGACTACGAAGAGGATACCGACAGCGAGGATCGTGAAATCAGCTTTGATGAGGAAGAATTTGCTCGCATGATGCGTGAGATGATGGGGCTGCCGGTGGACGCCAACAAGGCCGCGCATGGGCGCAACAGGAAGGCATCCGTGGCAGATGTGCCAGAGGTTGATCGTGAAGATGAAGAAATTATGCAATTATCAAAGCAGATGGAGTTAGAATTGAACGAGCACGGGGCGCTGGCTTTGGACCCCAGGCCGGAGGACTCCAGGGCTCTCAAAGACAAGGGCAAGAACAGGGCGGGAGCAGCGTCGGGGAAGACAACCCTTGGTGGCATTGATGACGATAGCGAGTCCGACGAAGTTGACATCGACTATAACCTGGCAAAGAACATCCTGGAGAGCTTCAAAGGCCAGGCTGGTATGGCTGGGCCCGTCGGAACAATGCTCGCCGGCATGGGCATTCGGCTACCTCGTGACGAAGGTGAGGATGAACAAAGTCATCCTTAGGGGCGACTTCCAACTTCATGCACTAGAAATGCGCCATCTCTGTACTTCTGTCGTTCTTCATCTTTAAAGGCTGTCTGATTGCATACACGGGTCACGCAAACACGATACAGCTGCAAATCTCCCGCTTTACTGCCCGCATGACTTCTTGCCAGCTGGCGACCACCTCTTGGATCGGATAAATAAGACCTCTCCTAACTATAGCTAGGTCCAGCACGGATATATTCGATGCGTGGGAAGAACCAGAGTAGGCAACTGAGGAGATGGAGTTTTAAGGGGGGGTGTATAAATAACATAAGTAGGATCTCGAGGCCAAGGAGTCTAGGGAGAAGAGACCCGAGCCTCTGATGGGAATGACAGTAGAGGACAGCTCCTGGATGAGTTGCCAGGATGGACAAGGCAGTCACAGGGCTTGGGCGAAGGAATTTTGACAACCTGTTCCACAGACATCACCCCATCCTTGTTGTCTGGTGAGAATACAGTTTCGCCTCTTTCTGTATGAAGTAACACTGTCGCAAAAAAACACTGTCGGGCAAAAGTCAACGTAATACATGAACGCGCGTTTTACTAGCTGAATCGTGGGTTTTGTGTCTCCAATGAATACCTGGCAATAGCGATTATGGGATATATGTCTACTCTGACATGATACAAAGAACCTTTTAGGTATGCCGAGACACCTTTGACAGAACTCTTATCTCGACCCCCGCCAAACGACCTGCGCCTAGCTCAACTATCTACAGTTGAAGTTCTGGCTACAGGTCTCAAGCAACTGCGTGGTGTAAAAGTTGACGACTCAAGGGACATGTTCGTTCGTACTCCCCCCCCCCCCCTATCCAACTACACCTACCCGATTATTTACTCTATCAGACGACTGTCGTTGCTCCCTATCCACCCAGAAATGTTTTATTCAGCCTGGTGTTCCGCTTTGGTCAAACTGTCACGTCAGAGAATTTACACTAGAGAATTTGCATTTTTTTAGAAGGTGAAACAGTCATGAGGTCTCTGTGTTAGTTGTCAAACATCCATGTATGATAAGTATATTGGCAGTAATGATATCTCTATTTCGTCATACATGCTATATAAAATACTACGGGATATGACAGAAGCGATACCTCTTTGGGACATCTTCTTTGCTCCCTTTTCTTCTTCCGAAAAGAAAAGAAAAGAAATAAATCAAGAAACAAAAAGATCCTTGCCCTCCTCCAATGACAATCACACATCAAATCTAATCACTTTCAAGGTCTAGGACCCCACATGCAACCATCGATTATGGTACCAACATCTTCCCATTCCGAGTCAGCCGCCTCCTAAATAATACATCTAGAAGAACCTTGCTACATCGCAAATACTCTCATACAAGTTTGTTTTCCCCCATCATTATTATTAAACGAAAATGAACGAGTATCCATTGATTTGAAACTAAGCCATTCGGGAACGCGACGTCTTGATTCTAAAATTTCTTAGGGACTGGGCTTTCCTGACTCTACCTCGCGTGTCTTCTTTGAAGTCTTGACCTGGTTCTCATGTTGGACCAGTTATCTGGGCCGCTAGCGCTAGTGCCCATATCGGAACAAGAATTCTATGCATGCCCTCCTTAGATCCCATGTGAATAAGCTACTTGCGTCTCTGTCACCTGGCTTCTTCGAATTTGTAATAAAAGGCTTTATTGCATGCAAGAGCCGACGTGCCTTGATTGTAGCTCGTAGACATGTAGCAATTGTCCAACGAGGAAAACGCTCGAACAATGTGCTTTATGAAGGATGATAGAGTAATTAGGATTTCCCCAGACACGGTCAGGTATGGGCCGAATCAGTCACCCAAGCACGGACTGATGCTCGATGTGCCCTATGATGGCTGAACTCGTAGGTCCCTGAACGGACCTAGATGCCGCTACTATTTTCGGCTTTTACTGTTCCTTCCTTGATTTCGGTTGACAGTTTGTACAGTTCAGTCAGGTTGTATCTCTTCAGACTCTCCCAATCGCCTGGAACGACGCTCAGCCCGCATACGGTCTGTGTGCATCCGTTAGAATCTGGATATCGCAAAGGGGGACACATGGCCATACCTGGTAGATGTCCACTAGTATAACCTTATCTGGAGCGCCAAGGTTCACTTTGTGCACAGGATCAATGGTATCTGCAATACGTTTGATCACATTGTCCCTCTTCAGAGTATTGTGACTGCGGATGGACGGCCGGATAGCGAACTGTAGGCCCAGAAATCAGTGGAAATATGAATCATGCGGACTCATAACCTTACCGTGGCTGGCTGAGAATCGTGATCCGCCCCAGCATGCTCGTTCTCCGCCTGGTCACCTGTGGCTTCGGACTTCGCGTGCTCTCTGGTGTCCGCCGATTTGAGCTTGAAGTGGCAGGCAAGGGCTTTTCTGGCCGCTTCATCCAGACCAGTCTCGGAAGCTTTTTCAATGACAGTGAGTGGTGTCAGCCTGTTGAGATACCGGGCCTTGGCCCCTCCGTGACCAGCATTAGCCGCATCCTGACAGATGCGCCGGGAGAACTCGACCGGTTCTATGGGAGCCTTGCATCGCATGAAAAGCAAGCACTCTTCTTTGATGCGAACTTCTGTGAGAACACGGTCGGAGGATTGCTTTCCCTTGTCTTTTAAGGCGCTGACCTCCTTTAGGATGGCGGATTCGATGTCCTCGTCTCCCGCATCCGATTCGTCGCAGCTCGACTTGATCCCGTACATTTTGTCGGCATACTGCAGCACTGTGAGCATGTCTCGTGTATCTGGAGTGCCAGGGGCCAGCAGACCTCATCGAACAAAAGTTCCATCTCCCTTGCAGCCTTGCCCTTCACGTGCAGGGGGCAGGTTACCCAGATGCCCATGTCGCCGGGCTCGATGACATTGGCTTTGGGTCTGTCTGAGGCATTTGCCTTCGGCACTCTCCACTTGCCATTATTGCCCTTCTATGAATTTGGTCAGACTAGCTCGCCGATAGGCATGAGGTGAGGCTGCTTCGAGGCAAGCATGACGAGATATTGTGTCGAGAATTGCATATGGCCTTGTCCGTCGGAGCAGGGACTTACCTTCTTTTTCTTGAAAGCAGGAGCACCTGCAGCGTCATTGCCGGCTTTTCTCTTAGTCGAGTCTGTCATCTCAAGTGTGCTGCCGTACCTGGTGAGCTTGCAGTATTTGTGAATCCAGATGGGCGTGCGATTCGAAAATTCAATGTTCCCAACTGGCGTAGTTTGGGGCCAGCAAAGTAGGGTTTAACCCTAGATCATATGTTTCACCCCACCCCGAAATCAACTACAGACGTGGGAAACGAAGTAGATATATGGGGTGCGGGGTGGGTAAAAATGTTGTTCAATACCCATCGAAGGAGAAAAAAGGGCCCCATCACTGTGATTGCGTCTGGTATTGTATTCCGCTTTTATCCTGTCCTAGGTGCGTCGACGACGCATAACTGCATGCATACTGTCTACTGCGTGCATGGGTATCAAAGTGTCTGCCATTAACATCGCATCACATCACATCACATCACATCACAGTGCAAGCCGAGTGCTTGTACTCATCCCCGAATATCTCTCGGCCTCTCTCTATCTCGTTAGCCCTCTGCTTCTCGTCTGTCTCTCGGCGAAAATACAACCGCATGAATTTTTCCAGGTTTTTGTCGATGTTTGCTGCCAATCAAAATTAGTATGGCTTCTGATCCTAGCCGAGGGTTTTGCACAAGTGGCAAGGTGAGGTGAGTGCGCCATCACACTTACACAGATCAGCCTCCATAACAACCTCGTCGCGGCAGAGGGGGCACTGTTTCTTGCTCTCCCGCTGCATCTTGATGACGCAACGGACACAAAAGATGTGCGAGCACCTTAGACGGACAGGGTACCAGGCAATGGAGAAGCAGATTGGGCAGGTGTAGTCATCGACTCGGGGTACAACCGAAACGACCTCATGGGCGAGCTGAGCACACATCTTCTTGGCCACGTTCCCGGCGAGAAACTTCTGCGACCGAACGGCTGCGCGGAACGAGACAGATGCGCCGAGGCTCGTCCGTTTGTCAAATTCTGCTTGTCATGTCAGTGCCTGCTGTATGCCAGGAAGGCCAGTAGGAAGGTCCGTTGGGCCATGTCACGCACTCTTGAGGATTTTGTTGATAGCTGTCTTGTTGATCTCCTGGAATTTGAGGTTCTGGAGCAGCGTCGCGTTGAGCTGCAGGAAGCGGTTATAGGCGAGCCGGCTGGATGGCATTTTGAACTTGCTTAACAAGTCACGCTTCTGAATTTCCTTCTGAAACCAAACAAGGTTCTGCACGGCTCTTGCGCTCGACCGAGAGCCATGGTCGATTTCATGGGAGGAGAAGAAGATTTGAGCATCGACGTAGACGTCAAAAATTTCTCGCCAGCGGTTGAGGTCCGACTTTGAGAACTTTGAGGGCCTGGTAACGGCCGAAACCTCGTGGCCAAGGGTGGTGATGTCGCCTTCCATAGACTTCTCCTCTTGCTGCTGAAGGATGTCTAGACTGTCGACATCGCTCTGGAGGATGTTGAAGAACTCGCCATCGAAGACCAAAGGAATCTCGATGCGCTCGATTCCCGCCTCGGTTAACACCGACTGCCCCTCGGGCAGTTGGGACTCATGGTCCGTGGTCACGGCGTCCGGAGTCGGGACGGGCTCCAGGCCTAGCAGGGGGAGCTGCTTCCCGGACAGCCTTTGGAGGAGTTCCCTCGATGCAGGAGAAAGGGCAGCATCGACAGGTTGGCCATCCTGAAGATGTACAAAGACGGTCAGGCACGGGCGCAGCGAGTGCGAGGGGGCTTGGTCGAGGTTGTAGCGGGCCATCGGGACGGGCACGCCGTCGGGGGACATAGTCTGGGCGGCCCGGAGCTGTTGCAGAGTGCCCTTGTCAAGGCCGAGGCTCTGCAGCTCCTGCTGAACCTTCTTTAGGCATTTTTTAAGCTGCGAGTAAGGTATGGCGGCCTCGCGCCAGTGGTCAGGAAAGGCCTCCCGTTCAAGGGTCTCCTTGAACTGGTGCGCGAACTTCATCTTGGACCTGGAGCGTTGAAGGAAGGGCTGATGGATGATGAAGATGCTGCTGCTGCTGCTGCTGATGATGATGACGATGACGACGGGCGTGGTCCGCGAGGGCCCCGCGCACGACTACGAACGCAGCTTGGGAATGGGTAGTGCAACAAGTGACAGCGTCGCCGGTAGATGCATCTCGGCCCAGGACGCGATGGCGACCGTGTGTCGTCGCGGAGGAAGCTGGGGATGTCTGGCTACAGCCTGGCCAGCCGTGAGTCTGAGGGGAGGGACGATGCGAAATGGCCCAAGTAACCATGCAATTGTTGGCTCTGTCCGAGATTGACAGCGAGCAGAAGCAATGAAGGGCGAGTGGGAATTCTCTGCGCGGCGGACATTGGCGCCGTTGCCCCTTTGCAGGTCAGGTCAGGTCAAGTCGGCTCTGTTGCGGAAGACCTTGATGCAGACCCAGATCGTCACCCACGCTCAATCAAGCGCTTCTCTACCAGTTCCTTGGCCCAGTTGAAGCAGCTCGAGTCAGGACACCACCAAGCTTGACAGCATTGGTCTACCGTAACAGTAGAATGCGCGCAACAAGGCCCACGGCCTCCCACAACACTTATTTCTGTTTCTGCATCGGTCATCATCTAGATTCCTATTCATCACTGTGTACGCGCGCTTTGTTGAAAATATCTACCCGCCGCACTTGCTTTAGCACACCCAAAGTACGCTTCAGCCGGGACCAAAGTCTCCCTACATGTCTACATAGGTGTTTTATCGGTCCTGTTGCTTTCGCGCCGAAAGTGGTCGGGTTCCATCTCGAAGGCGCTCACCCTTCTCGTGATGGACACTGCTCCAAGACAGCCGAAGCTGAGGTTGTGTGCCAAGACCCAGGCAGCACCAATCCCCCCCCCCCTCTGGTGGTCTGGCCTCAAATGCTTTACTATCATCGATGCCCCGCCATCAGACAGCAATGCCCCACCCGGTCTGGGCCTAGAACCTGGACTACGTCTTGTCCGAGAAACTTGTTAGACAGTCTTGTGAGCAATCTTCTCATGCTCCCGCTCGGCACCGACTCGACTGGCTAGCTATCTGTCAGTCCTGTCAGCCCTGACACCATGGGCGCCCAGCAATCATCGCAAGAAGGCACAGGCACAGGCACAGGCACAGGCAGCGGCAACGCTCATGACGGGTCTGCGGCTGCCCGCAAGACATGCTACTACGAAGTCCTCGGCGTGGATCGCTCTGCCGCCGATGCGGAAATCCGCAAGGCATACAAGAAAAAAGCCCTCGAGCTGCACCCGGACCGCAATTTTAGCGATGTCGAGAACGCCACCAAGAAGTTCGCCGAGGTTCAGACCGCCTACGAGATTCTCTCCGACCCACAGGAACGAGCCTGGTATGACTCTCACCGTGACGCCATTCTCCGCGGCGACGCCGACTCTGACGATGCCCCTCCCGAGCACTACAACGTCCGCCTAACCACCACTGAGGAGATCATGACGCTGATGGGGCGCTTCAACCGCTCTGTCCCTTTCAACGACAGCCCCAATGGCTTCTTTGGCATACTGGATATCACTTTTGGCCAGCTCGCTACCGAGGAGGAGGCGGCCTGCGACTGGGAAGGTGCGGCGCGGGCCGAATATCCCCCCTTTGGCTCCAGCCACGACGACTTTGACGACGTCGCCAAGCCCTTCTACAATGCCTGGTCCAGCTTCTCGACCAAGAAGTCCTTCAGCTGGAAGGAGAAGTGGCGGCTGTCTGACGCCCCCGACCGCCGTGTGCGTCGGCTGATGGACAAGGAGAACAAGAAGATGCGCGACGACGCCATACGTGACTTCAACGACGCCGTCAGGTCACTTGTCGCATTCGTCAAGAAACGTGATCCCCGGTACGTGCCAAATACGCAGTCCGAAGCGGAGAGGCAGAAGGTCTTGCGCGACTCCGCGGCTGCTCAGGCTGAGCGAGCCCGTGCGGCGAACCAGCAGAAGTTGAGCGAGGCCTACGTCGCAGACTGGGCGCAGTCCAAGGGAGACAATGAAGACTACAATGACGAATTTGCGACCAGCGAGGAGGAGTCCGAGGTGGAGCATTACGAGTGCGTTGTGTGCAACAAGACGTTCAAGAGTGAGAAACAATACGAGGCCCATGAGAAGAGCAAGAAGCATGTCAAGGCCGTACAGCAGTTGCGGCGTCAGATGAAGGAGGAAGATTTGACATTTGACCTCGATGAGCCCGCGAGCCCGGGAGAGCCTGGCGACGAGGAGCCTCAAGCTCCCAAAGCTACGCAGGAGCCAGTGGAAGGCGATGCCAAAGTTGATACAGGGATCGGCAAATCACAAGAGGATTTCGAAGATGATGAGACCGGGTCGTCTTCTGAGACGTGGAACGACGAGTATGCACCCCGCGAAGTTGTCGAGGGACGTCTTGCACCCGGATCCAATGCGGACAGTCCCAGCCGGAAAGACAGCGGTGACGAGCTCGAGTCACAATTGAAAGAGGTGACCCTCGAAGACGGCTCAGCGCCCAAGAAGGGAATGGGCAAGGCCAAGCTGAAGAGGGCCAAGAAGTCAGCTAAACAAGCGGCCCAGATGTCCTCGGTATGGCTGAGATTCGACCTTGTTGGGAACTGGGCAGAGCTAACCCAAAGGCTCATGCAGAACAAATGCGAAGTGTGTAACGAAGACTTCGAGTCCCGCACGAAGCTATTCAAGCACATCAGAGAAGAAGACCACGTAGGACTAAAACCGGCAACAAAAACCGGTAACTCCGGTAAGAAAGGATCGAAGAGATGATTGTTCTCTTGTCACTAGGTATACCTAGATATGCCCTTGTCGTGTCAAAGCAGCAACGCCCATCCAGATGATGCCCCGCCCGCTGCTCACGAACGCCTGAAAACCCGCAATGTGCATGCATAAGGGCGGCTCTGAGTACGGCCACCGGCCCATCCCTCACAGAACTCCGTCGAGACAGAAGACCAAGCTGAGCTGAAGGGAAGTATCACGCATTAACGACGGAATCATCGTCATCGTCATCACTCAGCGTCTCAACTTCGTCAATGGCGCCCTCCCTCTCTATAGGGGGCCCTCGTGCGGGATCATGTTCGGAGACCCGAATGACGGCTTTGCCCTGGACATATTTTACCGAGTCTTTCCATGTGTCCCAGTCGTCCTCGTCTCTGATCAGGAACCCAATTAACATGCTGGGATCCATCTCGCGCACATGCAATCTACGGAGCCGTTTCGTATGGCACGAGTCAATGTCGTCCTTTGAGTACTTGTTGACGTCCTCATGGAACGGGAGGGCAGGCCGGGTGAAGTGTGGATCGAGGTAGAAAAGGTAGGACCCGGGCTCTGAATTGTCGCCTGACTGTTGCGCACCGACGAAGTAGTGTGACTGTGATGGGCGGCCGCTGCGTCAAATTAGATATTAGCGAGGGCGCAGCTCGACGGGCACATAGTGTAGCTGCGTACCCAGCAATGCCGACAGACTGCGTCAGCTGGAGCGTGGCGGTCAGTGACTCCCAATAGACTTGGTTGATCTTGTCGATCCCCAACCGTGTGCCTACGAGTATCAAGGTTGGATGAAAAGTCTCGCCGTCGGGTTTCGCGATTGCCATGAAGCTATCCTCATAGACATCAGGCAGGTCACCTGTTGAATAGACGCGCAGCGATGTCTCGTTTGAGCTGGCCAGAGCCCTAAACAAGCGTCAGCTCCGCAGACATGTCAACAGACTGGCCATGGTTACTCACTGGATGCACCGGGCCGTCGCTGATGGCCCGAACCACTCTCCTGGGTATTTCCCGCAGGCCACAGCGCCGTGTCTTACGAAGTTGTGGATGGAATAAGGGGCCCGCGGGTCGTCTGCGAAGCGAGCCAGGAGTTGGCGCTCCTCACGATCAGCCGTACCTCGACGCCAACCTAAGGGGGATGTGATCAGCAAAGCGCTAAATAGCAGGCGTAAATCTAGGCAACAAGCTCTCACCGCGGCCAAGCTGGCAGATCAACAGAGTGTTGGCCAACAGGCTCTGCCCCGAGCGTATCATACACCCCCAGCCCGTGTCGGAGGTGAATCCATTCTGGTCGGCGAGAGTCTTGAGCCGCATGGCGAAAGAAAGAGAAGCAGCGGCCTTTGGGTCCGAGGACCTGGCAATAGGTTCGAAGTTAGAGCGGTAGGTCATCCATATTCGGGACTCGAAGTCGTCCATGAAAGAGGAAGGCCATCCCTTGTCTTCGGCCGAGGGTTCATAAGCCAGCGAGGATGAGACGCTGCTGGAATTCGAATCGGGAGGGGTTTCGGGGGCGGCATCTGCGGCTGCGCGCGATGCGGTGGCCGATGGTGTTGTTGGCGGCGTGGCCTCGGAGGAAGCTGTGGCCCCCGAGGCGGATTCCTTGCGGGCGGCAGGTTCGTGGGCATAGGAACAGCCCAGACACCAGACGGGTCTGTTGGCGGTGCGGTCGTTAATGGGTTGTGGATCCCAAATCATCTTGACGATGCGGCGCCCAACGCGCCCGGCCTCGGCGGCACCGGCCATGACCGTCTCCCTGGCAGTGTCAACAGCCTGCTGGGTTCTTTGGGACATGTCGGCCATGATGCTTCGCCGTGGTGAGGGTGTGGATGTGGATGTGGATGTGGATGTGGCAAATCGAGGCTATCTCTCGTGTCTGGAAAGAGGGTGGGTTGCCCAGGCAGCACCAGGGCGTGTGAGAGGCAACGAACGGACACCACCTTGATGTGCGTATGAGTAGGTATTCTGTTGGATTAGTACAGGGCAAGATGCCTGCCTGCCTAGATCGGAGCCCGTGTCCCTCACGCAGCCATGGAGGGTTGGAGTCGGAGGTTATCGCACAGCCAGCTCTTTCGCAGGAGGATGTCTTGCTGTGGATGGACGAGGGAATCTGCGGTGTAAATATATGTCGTGTAAGAGGGAAGGGAGTGGGGAGGAGACGGGCAGGCTGGCCGTCGATGTTCGCTGTATGGATGGATGGTGGATGATGGATGGGAGATGGGAGATAGAGCAGCACATGTCATTCCTAGGGTCGCGAGCCACTTGATCACCTCCCAGGACCCCACTAACCCTGCAAGCCTGACCTGTCGGGCTGGTGGGCTGGTGGGTCACCCATCACCTCGACCACGGCGGCTGGCCAGGGTGAGCAGGTAGCTGCTCCTTGTCATGTACAAGTACCTACCTGCGCACCCGCACAGGCACGAAGCTTTGGCCTAGGTACTTTGCCTGAACACCAAGTCGTGGACCCTTTTTCTGTGGGCACTTTTGGAGGCGACTGCTTGAGAAATACCTACTGTTGGTAGTGCCCGCTCATCATCAATCATTATCAGCGTCATCGTTCAAAATCGACCTTCTCTGCAACACGGAAATTGCAACACTCCAGTTGACTCCTTCAACTGGTTTTCATCCACGCCGCCTCATCATAGTCTTGATTTATTTCTCCAGCACAATTTTGGGCACAACAGCAACATTGCGCTGAACAGCAGCCGCTGCTCGTGCAGTCGACAAAGTACAGAAAGAAAGAGACACACACAGAGAGAGAGAGAGAGGAAGAGAGAGGAAGAGAGCCTTGAACCTTCCAGGCCTTGGCTCATTAATCAACTTTCTCGCATGGCCAACGTACCACTGATACCAAAATTGTTCTGAGCATGGCCAAGAGTAAGAAGGGCAGGGCTGCAAAGGCAGCTCGCTACCGGGCCATCTCAGCAGCCCCTGGGCCCCAACATGCACAGCAGAGTATCGCCTCTCAATTCGTGCCAAAGGCTGTAGCTGCCACGATTCACGGTTGGTCTCCGTGAAAGAACACGCTGTACTGTGCCTCGCTCTGACCTCCTGTCGCAGGCTTCTCTCTGGCGGACGAGGCTAGGAACACGGCTGAGCACCGGAAGGGCTGGGATCAGCAGGTAAAGCTTCGCGCTCATCCTGTTGTCTTCGTGAGTGCCGGGATGGTCGAGCCTCTGAAGGATCTCGACCAATTTGGACTCAACACCGACAACGTCATTGAGACATCGCAAGCGCAATGTCCGAAGCAGAACCCGGATGGCGCCGCGGCCGTTGGTGACGAGTTGCAGCTGCAGGCTGATCAAGAGCCATCCTTCTTCATAGACACCAGCGGTGACCAAACTCTTTCCCGCCGCCATGCCCAGCCTGTCACCATTCCAGACCATCGTTCCTCGGGTGATGAGTCGAGTTCGAGCGAGGACATCATCCTCTTTAAGGGAAGAAACGGTTCTCGCATCGACAATGCCGCTGCGCCTGTGGCCGACAATATCACGATACAAATTCAAGCTGTCGAGAAGACAGTCCAAGAAATATCCCTAGAGACGCCAACCCAAGCCAAGGCCCCGGCTTTGTGCCCTGATTCGCCGCCACTTTGGCAACTGCGTGGCCACAACGACGAGGACGCGATATTCGCTGATTATGTTGCTAATATGAGTGAGAACGATGAGGAGGACGGTGATGGGGACGGGGACGGCGAGAGAGCCCCACTGTATGCGGCATTCTCGGGCAATCTGGATCTCGGCGGCTCAGAAGGCGATGTGGTCATTCCCGAAGATTCTGGTAGTGACACTTCCGAGGGTATTCACGACCCTCGCGGTGACAGAGACCCTGAAATGTTTGAGGCTGGCGAATCTACCACCGCTGAGGACACTGACATGGCAGACGAGGCTTTGGCTCGACTGCTTGCTAAACAAGAAGAGCTTGGCCTGGACGACGACGAACTCATGCTACTCGCTGGAAATGAACTCGGCGGGATGTCATCATCGAAGAAGAAGACCGCTCATGCACGTAAGGAAAGCACTGTTAATCTCAAGTATGAAAAGACGGCCAAGACCAGTAGGCGTGGACCGGTACCTAGCGCAAGAGAAGTTGCAGACGCATTCGATGATCTAGATTTGATGGACTGGGGCCGACATAACCCGCCGCGGAAGCCTAAAAGCAAGCGCGGACAGCCGACCTTTGATATTTCAGACTCTGAGCTCGAAGAGACGCTCCAAGCGACCTGGAAGGCTGATCGTCTCCGCAAGAAGGAAAAGAGACAGCAACGCGAAGAGCTACGTGCGCAGGGCCTACTCGGCAAGAATGTCGATCCAAACGAGCCTCGGGTGAAATACCAGACTGGGATGACTCTGGAGCAGATCAAGGAGGAGATTCGAACCTTCCTGTGTGGAACCGATGAAAAGTAAGCATTTGACGGCAGCGAGACCAGGCAAGCAGCGGGCTAATTCTGTCCCTTGTAGCCTCACATTTCCCCCAATGGACGCTTCTGCGCGCAAGATCATTCATGAGCTGGCCAACAAATTCAACATCAAGTCCAAGTCGGCGGGCCACGGTGAAACCCGCAGACCCTCCCTCTACCGTACCAAGAGAACAGTCAGGTACTCTGAACCATCGTTTGAACAGATTTTTGCCCGCGCTGGACGCCGATACTTCCCTCGCCTCGACGTGAAGGGCAGGGCGCCCAGGGGTGGCGGTGGCGGCGGTGGCGGCACCGGCAGGCCAGGTCGTGGCGTCAACCACGCAGCATTCACGCTCAAAGACGGTGAGGTGGTCGGAGGCGGCGCACCGGAGCTGGATCAGGCCAATAAGGGCCGAGCCATGCTAGAGAAGATGGGGTGGTCCACGGGCATGGCCTTGGGATCACAGGTACGTTTCTGGCAGTCCAGCGGCATTGACGACCTCGCGGTACCCGTGCTGGCGTCTGGGTGTGTAGCCATCACTGACAGCCTACTTAATAGGACAACAAGGGAATTCTCCAACCCCTCGCCTCAGTAAGTCATGCCTTGCTCGCTTTAATTCCCACATCGTCGAGACAGCCCGCGGCTCAGGGAAGAAATCCGAATATCTTCTCTGTCTCAGCTCCTCTGTTTCTCCGGCTTCACCCAGCATCGTGGGGAAGGACACGGCTGACTTGCAACGTTTAGGTCGTCAAGCGTACGAAAGCCGGCCTGGGTTGATCGGATCTCTCAGGTTGACTGGAAGACACCTGCATCGAACACCACCCGAGTGTATCGGCTTTGGCAAGATGTGGGAGGACACCGCGGGCAGCAAATTGTTTTGTCATGGCTCGAATAATTGTCGCCTTGGAATATAGCATCTGCCCCTTGGAATTTCTTGCACAAGACATTGCTAGCCTCACCTGAGGGGCCATGTTGTGCATATCGACTGTACTAGTAGTAGAACAATTTTAGAGGCCCGACATGGGGCGCAATGCCCGTCACGGCAGTCGAGAAGGTCACACTCAGCTCAAAGATTGGTGACACTTAAGCAAGCAGGATCGTGTACATATCGGGCCCGCTCGATGCAGTTCCGAATAATTGCTGCGCGCCCCGTCGGCCATGACCTTAAACCTGAAGCGACACAATGCTCCTGAGCCATGGTCCTCGCTGCTGAACCCCGAAATGTACTGACACACCAATGTGACAAAGCGCGACAACCGGCCCATCTGTCACGAAACAAGTCCAGCGCGTTTAGATCAATCAGAAGGATTCTTGTTCATATGCACCATTTCATTGCTTCCGAAACCCTATTCTGAAGGAGTATTTGTACAGCCGCAAACCCCGTTGACCGTGTGAAAAAGCATTGCCCCCAAAAACAAGACCATCCGTGACGCATTAAGACACCCAAGGATCATGGGCCTTGGTATATCTCATCAAGTACCAAATGCCAAAGCTCATCCTGTGCCCATAGAGAAAAAGGAAAACCAGACCCTGCCTACACCGCTTATTTCGTGGAGGAAGAGTACTTGGTGACGGCCTTCGTGCCCTCAGACACGGCGTGCTTGGCCAGCTCACCAGGCAGGATAAGACGGACACTGTGGCGGAACTGTTAGTCACGCGTTCAGGCAGTGGTGCATGGCAGCAAGGTGGACTCACGAGGTCTGGATCTCTCGGGAGGAGATGGTGGACTTCTTGTTGTAGGCGGCAAGCTTGGAGGCCTCGGTAGCGACACGCTCGAAGATGTCGTTGACGAACGAGTTCAGGATGGACATGGCACGGTTTGAGATACCAGTGTCGGGGTGGACCTGCTTGAGGACTGTTGCAACGCGTTGAGTCAGCCAATGTGTCGGGATCGGAAGGGGACAAGTCGCGTGTGAGAGCAGAGCGCGGGGCTCCACCACCAAGAAGGTGACGCGGACTGTGCGAAAGACGCGTCGTGGAACAACTCACCCTTGTAGATGTAGGAGGAGTAGGTCTCCTTGCGAGCCTTGGTGCGCTTCTTCTTGTCTCCGGAAGCGGCCGTCTTCTTGCCGGCATCCTTCTTCTCAGGAGCCTTAGAGGCAGTGGCGGGTGCCTTGGAGGCGGGCTTCTTGTCGGCGGCCTTGGGAGGCATTTTGGTGATATTATTGAGAAGGTGGGGGGGAAGTGGACAGTTGGAAGTGCTGATGCAGATGGATGGAGAATCCAAAGATGTGTGTTGTCGCAAGAAAATGGGGTTGAGCGTTGAGATGTTGATGGGATGGGAGAGGTGGGAAGGCGGAGAGTGGAAGCTTGGGGAGAAAGTGGTGGATTAAGTAGTCGGCTACCTGGGATCGCAATTGCTCCAGATCACACTGCAGCGCGACTGCTAGTGTCCAAAACCGACCTTTCCCGATTCGGCTGCTGAAGGGGTGGGCACGCACGGGGCGCTAGCACGCGCTGGCAGGGAATCTGCGGCCAAGAGTTAGCCGGGTGGTGCGTGACTAGTGGTGCGCCATTTTTCTCTCTTGTTCAATAAACAAAAACAGTCGTGGAAGTAGTGTGTTACCTACACACCTAGACCGCTACTTCCACGCTTAACTCTTGTGGGTCCTCTCGCTTGCCAATGTTTTCCCAGGGCTGCCAGTTCGCTCTGTTGTTATGCACGGACCACACCACAGGGAATGTGCAGATGCCGAGTAGATGATCTATCCATGGCACACCCTGCTGTGTGGACTCAGTTGTCATCCTTCTTCGTCCACATGTCACATGTGCAGATGGAGATGAGCTGGAATGTAGTTTGAAGCGAGACCCACCGGGCCTTGCGACTTGATTAGCAATGTGTTCCTCCTACCTGATGCTTTGTATCTATCTCGGTGTGAATACAGCCACCACTCCCAATTTTTCCGCTCAAGACAGATTAGATTGTTTCCATCTCACCAAATGGTTGAGACGACGTCCAACTTGCGTTCCCAGTACGGATGATGTGGCAAGTTGATACGTGCCTGCTGCCATATGCATAAAATATTTGAAGCAGCTATGAGTATTGGCCATATCTGCTGCCAGAGAGGACATGACATGATGAGTGCAGGTAAGACCGGCAGTGCAAGTCACAGCTTACACGACAAGGCTGTCATCAAGCGGCCCCAGGTACATGCACGTACACACTATATAGTACAGACCATGGGGGCCACCAAGAGTGGCAACAGCTACAGGATTATCCTATTATGACACATTATTCAGCAATACGCAGGAGACTATCCCATGGCTTGTTATCCCATAGCAGGGTGACACAGGAAGTGATAGACTAGTCAAGTTGCAACTTGCGGATCGCGGGCGCTGCTGCAGGACGGCACTTTACAGCTAGTCTATGGCTCCTGCACACCGTAGCCCACGCAGCCAGACAGAAGACATGTCGTAGATCGTCTACTATACGTTTCCTGTGGACCGTGCATATGGACAGAGTGACTGAAAAGATGTCACACGGGGTGTGGAGAAGTAAAAAGTCATTTTACAGGCGTCTGAGGATCCCTGCATTCGTCTGTTTACCCAAAGCTTTCAGGCGAAATTAACCAGGAAAGCCGCTCGGTGGTATTGATTGGCTGCCTGGCCACTTCTGTTTTTCAGAGCAGGGGTGACACCTACTTGGGGCCGAATCAGGAAAGGTCGATTTTCCACACCCAAGCGCGCTGCAGCCGTGATCTGGAGCAATTGCGGCCCCCGGCAGACAAGTACTTAATCCACCTATTTCCCCCCACCACTCCCTCTCCTTCCACCGGATCCCATCACATCTCGCAACATCATCACAAACAAACGACCACTTTCTGCATCCATCAAACCCAGACGTTTACGTCGCCTAAACATAACTTCTATCTCCCAACCACTTCCCACACACCCACAACAATCAAAATGACTGGAGGCGGCAAGTCCGGCGGCAAGGCCAGCGGCTCCAAGAGCGCGCAATCGTGAGTACTCAACCCAGTCCACCCCTGACTGCCTTGATTTGGACGCGTTTTGATCGCGTCTCTCATCTTGCCCCACCTCATCCGACCAGTCTCTGATCGTTGCTCTACAGTCGTTCCTCCAAGGCTGGTCTGGCGTTCCCCGTCGGCCGTGTCCACCGTCTTCTCCGCAAGGGCAACTACGCTCAGCGTGTCGGTGCCGGTGCACCCGTCTACCTGGCCGCCGTTCTCGAGTACCTCGCTGCTGAGATTCTCGAGCTGGCTGGCAACGCCGCCCGTGACAACAAGAAGACCCGTATCATCCCCCGCCACCTGCAACTCGCCATCCGGAACGATGAGGAGCTGAACAAGCTCCTGGGTCACGTCACCATCGCCCAGGGTGGTGTCCTGCCTAACATCCACCAAAGTACGTTTTCTTCCTGCATCCATCATGCTATGCACCTGTCTAACATGTCTCCCAGACCTCCTGCCCAAGAAGACCGGCAAGACGGGCAAGAACGCGAGCCAAGAGCTGTAGATTTGGGGTATTTGCGGTTTTGCTTTTCATTTTCCGGTCGGCACGTTTGGGTTGTTCATGACACGGGGTCACGGTTACAGGGTCACTTTTACGGTTGTGTTTTTGCACGTTTGGGTTGTACATTAATTCCCAAGGGATCATCATGGTCATGAAATGAATACCACATCAAGAACAACAAATATTGTAGCCCTTCAATTGCTTCGTGACGTGGTTGTCTCGGATTTGTCCTTTCAGCCCTGGCCAGTGTCTCGCAGCATCTGCAGTAATCATTTTGACAGTCCCTTCAGGACCTGTACCGGCTGTTGCGCCAAGTCTCATAGGCAAGTCCCGGCCGGTCTGATTCAGCGCCCTTGGAAATGTAGCATGGGCTTGGGTCTCGGTTGCGCATACAGAGGACGGCGGCCCTCTCCCTCTGCAGTGAATTGGCCAGTTCTTTATGCATGCGTCTCTGCCTCTGCTGTGAAGCGCACGTCGCGCTCTGGGTGCTAGTTCTGCCAGTCGAATCGACCGAATCGAGACGGGTTTGACCGGGACACAATGAGCAGAGTCTCTTTCCATCTCTGCGCAGAGCCAGGCCAGAGAGGCCAGCTCAGGAGCGATAAGCGAGTGCCGCAAGAACGACTGTTGAAATTGTCTCGTTTTCCATTTTTGTTTTCCTGTAACACTGCACCTGCTATGTACACGCCCATTGGCACCTGCGCACGATGATATGACGTCTAGTATTTTAAAGGCGGAGGAGCTGCAGCCAAGGTTAGCTTCAGCGTCGCCGTAGGGGAAGGGGGCGGGTAACTCACGTTCCAGTATTGGGGCCGGCAGGTTTCTCTCGTACTTGGATCCTGTGTATCCCAGAGTCAGCATTTGGTCTGCGTCGACGAGACCAGAAACGGCCTCGCCCTGGAACGAGGAGAACGTACCTCCGGGTGCGGTGGGAGGAGCATAGGGATCTGGGTGTTTCCACGAGTCCAGGAGCTTCTCTGTCTCTTTCAACAATGCCTAAGAGCCGTCCATGGTCAGCCTCGACCCGTCAATGTGCGGTGTTAGACGAGACGGGTGGGCGGGGGGTTTATCTGGCGCGACGTGACATACCCTCTGCTGTCTAGGTTCGGTAATATTCCGGTTGGCTTCAAAAAGGGAGCGAATGTAGATGGCCTGGCCGCGCCAGAGATGTCGATGAACAGCCCAGTCAAGTGCAAGCTTCAAGGAGCGCCGGTAGAGGGAGCTGTGGGCGAAGAGGCACCGATTAGCGATCCACGATTAGCGATCCACGACCAGCGGCCAGCGACCGAAAGCCAGCGAGTCGCGCTCGACTTCGGCTATAGGGCGGTGCATGGTATCTGGGTACATGGCGTGCGACGGATGAAGGATGAATATGGGGGGAGGACGGTGCTCACAGGGCAGCTTGCCGGGACGACATGGTGGGCGAGGCAGACCTGTTGCGGTCGTGCAGGATAAGTTGGATCGGATCGGATTGAATTGGACTGGATTGAATTGGATGGGATTGGGTGTGATATGCCCAAGCGGTATTGAGTCGAGCGCTCCTACTGCCTTGCAGGGCTTTGGGTCAGATGGAGCATGCAGTGGCAGTCCCGGCTGGGTAGAACTGAGGACGTCGACGGTCACGGTCTCAATCTGGATGTCGAGTCTCAATTGATGCCTCGATTGCTAGGCCGGAGTTGCGGCAGGGAAGCGAGGGCGGGTAACAGAGAGCTCTTCGTCCAGGGGTGCTTGGGTGCTGCTTTGGTACTGGGCTGCTGGGCTGCTGGTCAGCGTGGCGGATCAAATTCTGATTGGTCTTGATGCACGACGCACTGACACAGGTGCGCCCAGGCACAACAGCTGGGAACAGGTACTTGGGGCTCACTGTGCCTCAGTATGGAGAACAAGGTACTGGGATCGGATCCGTGTCAGCGCTTTGGTGCTTCGGACACGGAGCAGAGGACAAGTACTTAGGTAGACTATCTAAATAGTCTAGTCTAGTCTAGTCTACCTCAGGTGCACAACTGCATGCTGCATGTAGTCTACCTAGGTACCTAATAAAGAAAGAGTCTTTTCCTCGTCCTCGGCCTTGTTCCCATCCTCGTGAACGTCCTCGTCCTCGGTGTCCACAAGAGAGTGTAAGAGAGCGTAAGAGAGAAAGAGAGAGAGACGAAGAGAGGGAACCTGCCTCCCTCTCGCCTCTTCTGTCTTGACTGCCCCAGTCGCAATTCGCGTTTTTGTCGCCCGTCCTCCCGGCTACCCGGTAGAAATCGGGGCACATACCCGCCCGGCCACGGCGAGGACCGCTGACGTCCTACCTTGACACCTTGACCACCTACCTCCCAATCCTGGCAGAGGGAGAGCCATTTTGCTTGCTGCTTCAGATCCGCTTCCAGATTTGGCCCGGCTGCATTTCTCCCACCGCTGCGACTAAAAACCATCCATACACTCTCTCCTCTCCTCTATCCTCTACCTAGCCACTGGCACCTGGCTTTGTCTGCCTGTCGCTCGGCTGTTCGCTTGTTTGTTTGCTTGCTTACTTGCTTGCTTGCTCGCCTGCGCCATCACCCACCACCCAAGTCGCCCAACATGCTGAGGACTCTGCGCACGACAGCGCGCGCTGTCCATCTGCGCCCCTTGCAATCCCTCCAGCACCAAGCAACCATCCTGCCTCTGCCCGCCTATATGCAACATGTTCGCACATACGCCGACAAGGTCGTCAAGGTCCCTCAAATGGCAGAGTCCATTTCAGAAGGCACCTTGAAACAGTGGAGCAAGCAGGTCGGCGACTTCGTCGAGCAGGACGAGGAGATTGCCACCATCGAGACCGACAAGGTGCGTCAGCCCTTTCGCACTCTCCCATTCCCTCCTCCACCTCCCCCCCCCCCCCAAACCCGCCCTTCTCCTCCACCCTTTACCCCTGACGGCCCGCCTGTGTCTCTCTGTCTGGGTACACAACCGGCTAGTCCAAGGTGATGCTGACCAGCCTCTCTCTGTAGATCGACGTCGCTGTCAACGCCCCCGAGGCCGGCACGATCAAGGAGTTCCTCGTCAACGAGGAGGACACTGTTACCGTGGGCCAGGACATCGTTCGCCTGGAGCTCGGAGGCGCCCCTCCCGAGGGCGCCGACAAGTCCGAGCCCAAAGAGCCCCCTCAAGAGAAGGCCAAGGAAGAGACCAACGAGCCGGAGAAGAAGCCCGAGTCAACACCCGAGTCAAAGCAACAAGACAGCAAGCCCGCGCAGCCGCCTGCGGCCCCCGAGAAAAAGGAAACCCCCCCTTCCTCGAAACCGGCAAAGGATGCGAAAGACGCGCCCGCGCCTGCTCCTTTGGGCGACCGCGAGGAGCGCCGTGTGAAGATGAACAGGATGCGCCTGCGAATTGCCGAGCGCCTCAAGCAGTCTCAAAACACCGCCGCCTCCCTGACCACCTTCAACGAGGTCGACATGTCGTCCATCATGGACTTCCGGAAGCTCTACAAGGACGAGGTGCTCAAGAAGACCGGTGTGAAGCTTGGTTTCATGAGCGCCTTCACTCGCGCCGCTTGCCTGGCTATGAAAGACATTCCTGCCGTCAACGCATCTATCGAGGGGCCTGACGGGGGCGACACGATCGTGTTCAGGGACTACGTGGATGTCAGCGTTGCCGTTGCTACCGAAAAAGGCTTGGTGACACCGGTCGTGCGGAATGCCGAGAAGATGGACATGGTGGGGGTCGAAAAGGCCATTGCCGACCTGGGCAAAAAGGTATGTGAAGTCCCGTACTCGATCCACGCACATATGGGCAGACGTCTAACGCCCGTCGTCATCACAGGCGCGCGACGGCAAGCTCACGCTTGAGGACATGGCCGGCGGTACGTTCACCATCAGCAACGGCGGTGTCTTTGGCTCACTGATGGGCACGCCAATCATCAATTTGCCACAGACCGCCGTCTTGGGTCTGCACTCGATCAAGGAGCGGGCCGTTGTCGTGAATGGCAAGGTCGAGGCTAGGCCAATGATGTACCTCGCCCTGACTTATGACCACCGCTTGCTTGACGGTAAGGAAGCTGTCCAGTTCCTGGTCAAGATCAAGGAGTACATTGAGGACCCCAGGCGTATGCTGCTGTAGGCTTCAGGGGTTTCACTTCAATGCTGGGAATGGGTTGCAGGTGGGCGAGTAGTGAGTGCATGGCGGGTTGTGTTTGCGGTAGCATACAGGTAGCCAGTGTCAATAGTGTACAATAGAATCAGCTGAGCAGGTGAAGGCACAAGTGCGATGACAAGCTTGTGACTGTGCCTGGTAATACTGCACGGCCAACAGTGGTTGTTTTATTCAACCACTGCAGGTCCAGATTAATACCAACACGAGAGCCAATACTGCTATCTGGGACGAGGCTTATAGTCAGCTTGGGAACGGTGCTTTATCCAAGCCTGCAGGGCAAAACGCAGCGAGGCATCACAAAAATCTAAGTGCACAGAGTGGAACTGCTTCAGAGTACCTCAAGATTCAAACTACAGTCTGCTGTTACCTTACCGACCACAGCATATCCGGTGGACGAGCTAGCAGTTAAACAAGAGATTCGGAACACAGCGTCGTGCTCGAAGAGCAACTCCGATCCAAGGGTGGGAGCAACAAAAAAAAAACAGGTTGCAAAATTGGCTCAAACCAGGGCTGCGATGGCGTTGGGCGAGAGTGTGGAACACTGGAGGGTTCTTCGGAGAAAGAACTGCGTGTCGGTGGTACAGAGCTGGATCGGCGAGCTTGATCTTTGTCGCCTATAACTCGGTCTATTGCCTTGTCGATAGCTTGACAGATATAAGAGGACGAAGCGGGAGGAAGCTGCTAGTCAAGGAGAGAAACAGAGTGGCTTCAAAATAGGCCAGGATGTCGACGACGGGGCTCAATTAAGAATCGACTGCAGCTTGAGAGACCTCCATTGAACTCAATACGCGATAGGATTTTCCTACATTCGCCCATTACATCGTGTGCGAGTCCTCCAGCTTCAGTGTGCTCTCGGCCTAGTTCTGCGAGGTCTCAAGCAGACCATGAAATTTAGCAAGAAGATGTGAGTAACATGGTTCCATGCTGTCCTAGTATCAGGAGGCTCACTTAGACGAGCATGTACTATGAAAAGTGACGACTGGGTGCGACTAATTAGTACGAACGCCAATGGCGTCCAAAGCAGCGATGTGCTTGATCTCAGGGGCAACAGTGGCAATTATATGTGGTCTGGTGTAGACTTGTGCGTGGTCGTTCTTTTACCCAAAATCGAAGCACATAGCGAGCGTGGTCGTTCTTTTACCCAAAATCGAAGCACATAGCGACCTGGTTGTCCAGCCAAGATACCGATAGGTCTGGTAATGCGGTGTGGGGGGCTTTACGATATGACAACCAGTCTTCATTTTCACGGTAATCTCTGCCAGCGGGTTTGTAGAACAAAGGTAATGTAATTGATGGATCTATAAATGCGGGTGACTGAAAGTGTCTTGTGTATTGTGTTAGACCAGGGCCTGCCCAGGATGTATATGTACACGAACCGAGGGGCGTCTGACAAAAGCTTATTCGAGTGTTCATTTCGTATTCTCATGCTGGCGACAAGTGTAGCCAAGGCAGCTGGTGACTAGCATCAATCCACATTGCTCCACCGGAACGGAAAACACGAACCTTGGCTCCATCCCTTATTGTCCAGGCCTATTCCTGTCATTGCGCCTGGCCCAACAGACCCAACTTAATTCTAAGCTTAAAGGGGTGACCGCAGCGTCGGGCGGGCCGAAGTGTTATTGTTATAATAAGAGCCTGCCTGTCACATTGCAACTTGAGTCTGTAATCGTTCCGCTGATTTATTTCCGACCAACTCGAGCAATCCTGCGACAGTGAACTCCCCGCTCGTCACGATCCAAATACCAAACATCGAAATGATGATTGCTCCTGTTCTCCTCGCCGCCTTGGCCGGCACTGCCGTTGCCATCCCCACTCCCCAGGTTGAAGGTGATGGCATCACATATAGCAACTGGACGGTTCGTGCTGATTGGTCCCGTGAGTACTACCTGGCGATGCCTGCAACGACACCAAGAAACAGTAACGGACAACATGCTATCCACGGCCCCGGCGGCGCCCCACGGGTTGAGACTTGCTGACCAACCCATCCTGACAGGCTGCCCCGATGCCAGCCTCTTCGACATCACATTGCAAGGGCGGATCGCCGTCACCGGCACAACCAGTGGCACCGGCATCGTAGATTTCAAGCTCCCCGTCGCCCCCTTTGAGGCCTCTCTGGTTCTGAAGCCCGCCGGCAGCATCGGCTTTGGCTCTCCCCGCCCACCCAAGATGGTCGACATCGCGCTGCTTGAAACTGCTGACGCTGACGGGAACTGGGGCACGGCCACCTTCCAGCCTGAGAAGGTGGGAGCCACAAGTGTCGACGCGGCGATTGCCCAGGTCGCTTGGTTTACCACTCCGGACCAGGCTTTCATGCCCGCTTCTGAGCTCGACTACTCGACATTACAGAAAAACCAGACAGCGACGATCGGTACCACGGTCGATCCAAGCTTCTTGAGGGTCTACTACGTAAGTGCCGCTTTGTCTACCATCGTTTGTGCAAGGATAGAGTGCATGGGGGGCCTGATTTTCAGCTAACCTAGAATAGTGCTACCACCCCGAGTTCTGAGCATATAAGGTCTCACCCAGTTTATATTGTTTATGAAGTAGAGTGGAATATATAGTCGCCAGTGGTTAACCGATCAAGTTTATACTGTAGAACTGGATATTTCATATCTATCATTCAAAGTTCAAAATATATCAGAGGCAATATTTAATCAATTCTCGGTGGCATATTTCAAAAAATATCCGTTTCCACTGCCCAGCACATATGAATGTGAAATAGTGCATGTAGATCCATCTTTAATTGTTTTGATAAAATTGTACTGTATCGTGAACAGCCCTTGCTACATGATCTAGCAGTCAGTTTCAATTTTAAACTAACCACCTCGATTGCATAGTATAGGGAATATAACTCTTGATAGTAAAAGATTAACCAGTGGTATCGAAGTTTGTACACTAAAGAGGGTGATTTCAGTCGCTGAGCATCTTATATACAACTTCAGCCACCAAGCTTACGGCGGGCCTTCTCCCATCCACAAGGGCATACAGGTGTGTCAAAGCGCCGTGCTGTCTGAATTGCTAGATATGTCATATGTTTCAAGAACCACCAGGGACTTTTCTCAGCCCTATACATGCGTTGACTGCACATGCTTAACCGGTGGTGCAGCCGCCAAGACGAACGCTCTCAGCGTACATCTCATACGTGTCCGCGTTGGCAGCAGCCTTCGTGGCCGACAGAGCCTTAGCGGCTGTCGGACCATAGGCGTAGTCGGAAGTACCGTACAAGTGCGTCATCTCGTGAAGGATACTGCCCGCCTTGTCATAGTCGTCGCCTGAGCACTGAGATGCAAGCTCGGGGAAGTCCCAGAAGCCGTTGCTGGGACACGGCACAATCACGTTGTCGGACGGAACGGTATAGAGCAAAGCATCGCCGCCACTGCAGTCACCATAGATGTCGGTGCACGAGATTTCAGGCGACGTAGTCTGTACATTGGCCACATCGTTGTAGATGGTCCGGACTTTTGCTTCGTTCGAGGTAGATATGAACCTAGCGGGGTAGTCAGCAATTAACTCGCTCAAACCACGCAGGGAAGCTCGGGATCACTCACCAGGTGGTGAAGTAGTCGGCCGCGGACCCAGCAGCAGTGTAGGCGGCACTGGCCATTGAGATGGCATCGGAGACGCTGGTCTTCAGAGTGCTAGTCTGCGAGGTAGAGCAAGACGAGTACGTGATGGAGCGCCTCTGGATGCGAGACGAGACGTGAACCTCACGCTTGCCCGAAAGGTGCTGCCTAAATACGCGGGTATCAGTAAAGAGTCCGCAACGGCAGCGACTTGAAGAACATACTCCGCAACTGTAGCCTGGTCCGGGGTGACTTCCACCTCGCCGGATGTCACATCTTCACAAGCAGATAGCTCTCCAAATGAAGAAGGCGCGTCGGTTCCATTTGCGAAGCGGAAACCCTGAATGGCTGTGACCTTGGCCTGCGAGATGCCGCTGAGCTTGTAGCTCTTGGCTGCGTTGACTGGGACGGTGACAGTTTGGCCAGCCTCGATCTGCTGGAACGAAGAAGCAGCCAGGCCGGTTCGCTTGTAGTTGACATAGACGCCTTCGAACGGAAGTGCGTTGCCCTCTGCTGTCTTGTTAGCCAGTGTTCCGAATATGTAGCTCGACCCGTGTCTAGTGAATTGCTCTGCACACCTGCATCGGTTACCAAGAGGTCCTTGGTAGCGTGGTCACTGAACACCGTGTTGCCCTTAAAAATCGAAAGAGTCTCTTCGCCCGTATTTGTGACTGCGACGTTGACAACATGGTTATCTGAACTGGCGATCTCGACCGACAGAGGACAGGCGGCCGAGGCAGCACCGGCAAGGAGAGCGAGGGGAAGAGCTTTGGCAATCATGATGGACGGTAGACTTCGCGGATGGAAGCTGACTGAAGAGGCATCCGCTGAAAGATTCCATGATGCTGTGCAGAGACCCTCTTGCTGTATAAATACTCCATCGGTTCTGCTCTCTCCGCTACAGACATCTGTCCGATGGCAAGGGTGAAGATAAGCCAGGCCGGAGAAGTTCCCTCGTCAAGGAGGTGAACCTCCAAGAGCAACTACCAGGAGGCATCTTCCCACTTGTTGGAGAGCGTGCAGTGGACCGTCTAGTCTTCATTTGGAAGGAGGTCAAACAAGAGTATCCAAGACCTCTTGTCCCCTACTCTATTTAAGATAAGCTTCGGGAGCCAAGCTGCGTCAAGGAGGTGCCGAAGCAGGGAGGGTAGTAATGCATGCTGCGGACCTTCACAAAGTGGGTAGCAACAGTATTCTGGCCTCGGCAGGTGGGCGAGGGGAGCGGATATGTGGGCGGGAACATCCGGGAGTCGGTGCAGGTGCCAAAGTTCGCCGGCTTCTGCTAATTAAGTAGTTTAAGCTGACCTCCGACGGATGGCACGAATACGGTAGGTGTCATGGGAAACGAACTTCGAGTAACACATGAATAATCAGGGCGTAGTATTAAGGTCTCGCGGCCATGTCCTGGTCGTAATCAGTGCACCGTCTCGAGTCAGGTCTACCCGTTGGTGCCCCTTCAGCAAAAGCATTCTGGGGCCAAATGCGGATCCCATTGATTATGCAATGGGGGATGACGGCACCGGGGCGACGATGAATAATGAGTGAGCAGAGCGAGCAGATTCGCCCTAATCCAAGACTCCAGGTGCCAGCTATGATGACCCATGGTCGAGGCGGAGGGCTGTGAACTGAAAGAAGCACCTTGTCTGGCTGACTTGACACGCCAGTACTAGACCGGTACAAGTTTGCAGTACACCTTTTACTGTGTGTCTGTGGAGCCACACGACTTCAAATCTACCCTCCCTTCATACGGGGCGATTTGTGCTCCAGAGGCGTCGTCGACGGGCTCACAGGTGCACATGTCTACAAAGAGGATGTCTCGTCGGAGTGAAATTGACTCCTCAGGATTACTCAACGGCATTGACGTCGTCCCATCTTGCGAAAAGAGGACGGCCAGGGGCCTGGCTGATACGACAAGATCGATCTTCATCTACTTTAGCCTAGCGCGGCGCAGTTCAGACGAGCGCCCAACTTCATTTTGCGTCATGAGAACGTCGCTTTCTAATTTCAAGGTGGACTGCCGCCTGCATATGACGCAGGTGTAGCTCATGAAGGAATACAAATACATACGAGGGGGGCAGAGGCGTGATGTATCCGATTACGATCCTTCTAGTGTGTGCTGTCAGCCGTGCGATGATACATATAACTTTGTTGGAGAAGACGTATGGACAAATATGCTCAGCATAAGTCACATATCAAAATCAACTAGATATGTATGTTTCATACACTCTTGACTTAGGGGCAACTACTAACAAGTGCTCCCTTTTCACCCACCTAGGTTAGAATCCTGGCTATGAGGAGTCTCTAGCTCTTTTCCGCTCTCACCGCGACTAATTTCTGCACAATCCATCCGATCGGTTCCTGCGCAAGTGGCAGAAGTAAGTGTAGTCTGCTCTGAAAGTCCTTGGTCCCGTTAAAACCCAATGCAGCTCATCAGTGTGTTCGAGAACTTCTTCCCAGCCTCGTGACGAAGATTGCCGCCTCGTTCAAAAAGCTTTCCGCTTGTAAATACTGGCTGCATCATTTCGTAGATGGTTATAGTTACGCCTGCTTCCTCATTCCCGCCGTCGTTGACGCCCTTGTAGCCTTGAGACACAGTATGTTCAATGAACTCGTCCAGGATTTGGGTCTGACATGTGGCTTCAAGGGCGCCGAATCGGGATTTTCCTCCATCAATAGCCATCGGATAAGATCGCAAATGTAAGACCTGGTGCCGGAAAACCGACCTCCTAGTTCAAGACGCCGATGAGGCACTTCCAATTCATCTACGTACCGTGTAGAAGGAGATCATCGCATCAGATATTGAAAGTCCCCTGGTGTGCACTCTCGTTGACACGTCTCCGAATAAGCTTGCGAAACTGGTAGCTTGCCAAAGAGTTGTTTCGAAAATGGTCGTCTTCGACATCGTGGGAGTATAGCAGCTGTGCGATCCGCATATCTGACGCTTGGTCGAACTATTTACTAGGTTGGGAGCAGTCAATCGTGTTAGCGAAAAACACGACGGGCGGAGACCTGTCTCTCGTGGCGGCGTCATTCATAGTCATTGTCGATGGAAGTCCTGTTAAAAGCAAAGCTGTGCATACTCTGTGTTGACTCAGTAGTTAGGATACTAATATGGGGGCATCCAAGGCTGGCAAGCTTTGAGCAACCATTGTTTATCTAGCGGCAGAGGAAATGCTACTTGTCTTGCACGCCCGGGAATGCAATGGTCAGGTCGTGCAGAGCCGTCTAGAGGTCGATAATACGGGATCCGCGCCACGAAGACTGCTAGCTGAGCCCGGGAGGATGAACTCCTGTCATTATGCAGAGTCCTCGACACAAGTCTTCTGCTCCGGCAAAGGAGAAATCAATGTATTGGGACATGTAGCGAGGTCATACCGCCATTCGTGGACCGAACGCGAAAATTCAGCTGTAGAACCCTTTAGCAGCACACTGGAAACCATACGCCTTACCCCTATGCGATGCAAAGCCACAGTTTGGGCAATTAAATCTGCTAATACTCTCATTGGAGCATGATTAACCTAGTCGTGGACCGTCTAGAGCGTGCCCACGGACAGACATCACGGGTCAGACAGTATATGACAGGGTGAATACGAGGCTATTTCATTAGGTACTCATGAAGGTGCTCGGTTGTGCCAGTTGGATTGCTTCAATGGTGAGGAAGAAGATGCACTTTATCGTCTTTGATAGGTCTGGTCGTATTCAACCCTGAAATTGAATCATTGCTTGAAGTGACCCGATTTCAATCTGCTAGGGCCCTCACTTACTCCACCGAATTATTCTTCAAAATACAAACAGTGAACGACTCCTGGCCCGTGAAATAAGACCAAAGCCTTCCACAGGGTCGCTCATACGTATCCCTTGAATCTAACAGATAAATTTGAAACATCACCGACTATTTAAGAGCGGCCTATTTCCAACCAACGCACGTAATCTAAATGCTACAGACCAATTGACAGAGAATAGCATAAAGTAGGAGCAAACAGAAAATACACGCTTTAGGCAGCTATGGTCTCAAACAATGGGATCTTGTGTTCATACTCTGGCATATTGTAGTGTAAAGAGAACATGTCGCATTACAGTATGATTTTCTTTACTTTACATTTCTGTCTGTGATCTGTCATTGACCGTGTTCGGCCCCTTGAAGTACGCAGCCAGCCATGTCAGTTGTGTGATGTTCGCAGCGGTCACATCATATAACCAGAGTCATGTCATCAGTCGCAGGCAGCATCACAGATAGTCAGGACAGCCATTTTTAGGTTACCACGAAGATGTCATATCGCTACATTAGGGTCATGAGGAGAAGCTGTGTTGGCGCGACAAAAAGGAAAACAAGAAGACCACGAATAACAGGTGAAGCCTGACGTTTATACAGCGGACTCCTACAGCGGACTACGATAATAGGTACTGTATAAGAAGACTGCGCACCCCTTCTCCTTGAGGACACAACAACGTACATCAACTTGTTCTCGTCAACAGATCAGTGACCTAAAATCTCTCTGACCATAGACTCTTCATGGATCAGTCTCTGGACTGCCCGGACAGCTTCTTGCACTGAAAATTGACTGGTTTCCTTGTGTCCCTAATCAACCGCGCCAGCAAATACTCAAAATATCCTGACGACTTCGACGACAATGCAGATGAGCGAGCTGCTACGTGTGCAGGGATATTGAATATAAACCTCCCGTGCAGGGCAGTAGCAAGTGGGGAAAAGAAGGACATCAACACTCCATGCGAGTAGTTGAGGCTGGTGGCTGAGGGCTAGGGCGGCACACAGGCGGTTGGTCCCTACAGGGCCCATAGGAGCCCCTGCAGAAGCTCCCTTGTCGATAAGGCCTGCCTAACCTGCAGCTGCAGCCTCAAGGGCTCCGCCAAAGCTATCTTCGCATATATTATATTTAAATACAAAATTTAACTAATATTAATTAATAACAATAAATATAAATATAAATAATTAAATAATTAAATATTTTGTTATTTTTCATTTTTCATTTTTTGATAATACATTAATTTATAAATTAAATAAAAGTTTTAAGAAAATAATATAAAACTATAATAGTATAAATAAAAAAGACCATCTGTTTTAGTATTTATGAAGTTTAGGATTCCAAAATGAAAGAACAGTTTCAGTAATCTTCTTACTGTTTGGGTATGGGAACCCATGTCCTCCTGGTAGATATTCAATTTGCAAATGACTGGGTGGTAGCAACTTCAGGATATCCTCCGTCGTCTCCTCTCCAACCACGACGCCATCGTCTCGGCCGAAGAATACAAGCAATTTGGAGTTACACAGGGCAGTATCGGATCGTGTGCGACCAGTAATTATGTCACAAACCTTCCTCCACGAATCTTCATTCTGCAGCGGACCGTAACGACTGGTATCCTGGAAAGAATGAATGTGGCCTCGATGATGATCAAACTGCCACTGAAGGATTCCTTGCATGTTAAAGCTCTTTTCCACGCGGGACGGGCTCGTTTCCACTGGCACCACTCGCCTCTGATCAAGTTGAATGTCCAGGGCTGGGCCAAAAGGAGCTACTCCCAGCATTTGTCGTACTTTCTCACGAATGGATTCACGTGATGGTGCAAGTTCGGGCTGATGCATAAGCTGGTCATCGTAACCATCTGGTAGGTTGCGGAGGAGACCTGCCGGACCGAGAAGCACCAGAGATCGAATTGATGAGGGGTAAGCACCAGCGAATGCCAAGGAGATTGGACCGCCCAAGGAAAACGCGATGATTGAGAGATTCGTGCCGTTTCCCATCCAAGAGAGTGGCGATGACATGAGTGCCAAAAGCATCTGGGATGCAAACAACCGAACGTCGTGCCGACAATAGAGTGGGGTATCGCTATATCCTCGACCCCAGAGATCTAGCGACGACTCGGTTAGCAGTCTCATTGTTTTATCTATTGCCGGAGTTGATATGCCCATATCTTCGACGACATTACTCACCGAAAAGCATCACTCGGTGTCCAGCATCCACAAGCCCTTGGGCAATGTTGGAAAAAATCAAGCAAGGAGTGGCATCTCCGTGAACAAACAAGACCTTCTCCCCGTCCGCTGGTCCCCACTCATAGACTCGCATAGCGCCATAAAATGTGTCTATATCGCGAGCACCCGGAAGGGCATCAGGCGGGTACGCCATCGTGGCAGCCTCCTCGGCTGAGATGAAAGGTATCAGTGTTGCTTGAGGAGATCGAATCTTATCGGTCATCATGTAATAATGGGCGTCGGTGGAAGATATAATTGTAGAGGGACAAAGTTGATGAGGATAAGCTCATTCAGTCGAATTAGAACAGGAGCCGGAGAAACGCATATGTGCTAAAAGATCTGCTGTTGGCTGGGTTACGTATTCGAATTCAATGCGCGTTTAGGGATGTTAGTGTTTATTTGGGTGTGGGTTGCTTGCTTAATTATAGAAAGCAGCTAAAGGTTGTATTCCTTTAAGGCCTACTTATAGCTATAGACTTAATAAACTAATTACTTTACTATAAATGCTAATACTATTATTTATATACTAGCAGTTTTTTATTAAATATATATATATATATATATTTATAAATATTAAAAATTAACTTTTATAAAATTTAATTAAAAATATTTATTAAATATAAAATAATATTTAACTTATAAAATAATAATAATTTTTATTATTTAAATCTTTAATATATAAACTATATTATAAAAACTTATTATATAATATATTTTTAAATTAAATTTAAAATAATATAATTTAAAAATATAAATTATTAATTAATATAAATTAATTTAAAAATAATAAAATTAGTTTATTAATTAATATTTATAAAATTTTAATATAATTTTTATTTAAATATTTTTATTAAAAAGTTAAAAAAACTTTAACATTTTAATTTATATAATAATTTTAAAAATTTATATTAATATTAAATTAAAATTTAATTTTATAATAAAGTTTAATAAAATTATTTAATTTATTAATATTATATAAATAAAAAAATTATTTAATATTAATTAAATTTAATTTTTAAAATTTTATAAATATTTAAAAAATATTAATATTTTATTATTTTAATATATTTTATTTTTATTTATAATTATAAATAAATTTAATAATTTAATAATAATTAAAATTAATAAAAATATTAAATAAAAATTAAAACTTTTAAATATATTTATAAATTTAATAAAATTATTAAAAAAGAATTATTATAATTAATATTATTATAATTATTATTATTAAAAATAATTTATTATTAATATTATTATTAGGTTTTTTTTTTATATTTAAAATAATTTTTGTTAATAAACTTTACTATTTTTTTAATTTTTTTATTTTATTTAATTTTAAACTTAAAATTAAAGCTATTTATAGTAAATAAAATTTTAATATTAAAATATTTACTAATAGTTATATTTTTATTTTTATTAGCATTAAATTATTATTAAATATAACTTTATTTTAATTTTAATATTTTTAAAAAGTTTAATAAATTAAAATTAGTTATTAAAGCTTTTAAATATTTAAAGTTTTTATTAAAACTTATATAATTACTTTTAATATATAAAGCTTTTTTAAGCTTAAATATATATTTAAATATAATTATTTTTTTTATGAAAAATTAAATTATTTTATTTAATAGTATTTAAAATAAATATTATTTTATATAATATTAAAAAAATAAATTATATTTAATTCTACTATTTATTATAATATTAATAAGAGTTTAATAGTAATAAAGTATTATAATATATAAAAAAATTAAAGTTTTTATAATTAATAAAAGGGGTATAAATAAAAGGAATTTAATATAACTATATTAAAAGTTATTAGCTAATTATATAGTAAGTATATATAAATAATAGCCTTTATATATATATATTATAATATTATTAAAATATAATAAATTTTCTTATTAATAAAAATAAATATTAAAGCTTAATAAAAGTTGATATTTAATTTAAAGTATAATAAACATTTAAAATAATTAAGCTAAAAAATATACTTATTATATTTAAATCTTTTTAATTATATAATAGTTTATTAATATTTATAAAGAATACTTATAGTAAATATAAGTTTATAATTATAAATAAATATTAGTATAGTTGTTTTATAAAAAGTATATATAAATAATATTTAAATTTTAAATTAGTAAATTATTTCTTTTAATATTTAGCTATTTATAATTATTTTTATAACTATTAATTATTATTAGCTAAGTTATATACTTAAATATAATATATATATAGAGATATTAATATTTATTTAAGTATAAGTTGCTTGCTTAATTATAAAAAGCAGCTAAAAGCTATTTCCCTTTAAGGTTTACTTATAGCTGTAGGCTTAATAAACTAATTAGCTTACTATAAACACTAACACTATTATTTATACACTTGCTTTTATAAAGGCATTTTAGTTTTAAATAAATTATACTATTATTAATATTATAATTTTTCTTATATTTATTTAATTAAAAATTAAAACTATTTATTATTTATTAAATTTTTATACTTATAAGTAAATAAAAAACTAAAAAACTTTACTATTATAATAATTACTAGCTTATATAATTAAAAGATTATATTACTATATTTTAAATAAAATTTTATAAATAGTTTTAAATTTTAATATTTATAGCTTAGCTTTTTAATTATAAAGTTATTAACTTTTCTTTTAAATACCTCTCTAGCTTATTATAAAATAATATTTAAGCTTTATAGTATATAAGCTTAAAGTTTATACTAGTTTATATATATTTTATAAATAAACTAGCTTTTAAAATAAATAATAAAATTAATTATTATTTTAAAATATCTTTTTAAAATATATATTATTTTATAAAATTAATTTATAAAGTTTTAAATTTATAACTTTTTTTAAAAATAAAATAATTTAATTTTAAAATTATATATATATAAATTAATATTTTAATTACTATAAGCTATATATATATATATTAAAGTTATAATATATAGCTATTTAAATTTATTAGCTTTTATAAATAACACTATATTAGTATATATTATAATATTTATAATAAATGTTTTATTAAAAAAATATAAAAAAAGTAATACTTTTAAGTTTTACTTATTATTATAGAATTTTAAATAAGACTTTATTTTGCTAAGAAAAAGAATGAAAACGGAAGGATGTTTTTAATTATAGTTAGGGTTTTAAAAACAGAGAGCATTAAGGCTATAGGTAGTTTATACGTTTTAGCCCACCTGCAGTAACTTAACCTGCTTGTAGTGTTATTATATTATTAGTAAAATAAATATAATAATATTTACTTTTATATATAAATTTATTTAAATAAAAAATTATAAAAACTATTAATATAAGTAATAAAGTAAATATATTAATAAGTTTTATAAATATAAACTATATAAAATATATTTATTATTAAATAATTTAAAAGCTATTTTTAATAATAAAAAAAAAGTTTAATTAATATTTAATTAAATTACTTTATAAGCTTTAATTTTATTTTATTTTTATAACTTAATAATAAATAATATTAATATAAATATTTTAAATTAAGCTTTTAATAATAATTTTAAAGTTATTTTTTAATAATTTATTTAATTTTTAAATAATTTTTAAAACTTATTTTAATTATTATAGTTTTCTTTATTTAATAAAATATTTTATAATTAAATATTTATTTTATTTTATAGCTATTAAATTTAATATTATTTTTTAATATTTATTATTTTTAATTTAAAATAGTTTAATGTTTTTTAAAATTAAAATTATTTTTAAGTTTTTTAATTTAAAAGTATATTTTTTTAAAAAAAAATTATTATTTTTTTATATAAATTTTAAGTTTTTATTTAATTTTATTTATATAATTAATTACTTATAATATTTTTATTTTTAAATTTACTTTTAAACTTTTAATTAATATAAAATAATAAAATATTAATTACATATATTTATATTATTATAAATAATTTATTTTTAATTATTTTATTAAAATAAATTATAAGTTTAATATAAAAAGTTTAGTTTTATTTTAATTTATTTAAAATAAATAAAATATTATTATATTTAATTTTAAATATTAATAATAATTAAAATAATTTATATAGCTTATATATTATTAATTAGCTTTTATTATAAATATTATATTTTTAAAAAATTTAAATTTTTTTATATATTAATACTTTTTAAAGTTTTTAAATAAACTTTTTATAAAATAATATATTATTATTATTTTATAACTACACTTTTTTTTTTATTTAAATTCTTTTAATTATAAAAAAAGTTAATTAATAAAATTAAATAATAATAATTATTTTATAAGCTATAGCTAGCTAGTTTTATTTTACTTTTAAGCTATATTATTATTAATATATAATATTATTTATGTTTTAAATAATACTTTTTATTAATTATTTAATTATTAAAGTTTTTTTTAATAAATTATTATAATATTAAATTATAAAAATAAGTTTAATTATTTAATTTTATATTTATTAACTTATTTAATATAATAATAAATTTTCTTTTTATATTTATTAAATACTTATATTTAATATTTAGTTTTTATAAAATAATATATATAAATATACTTTAAAAAATACTTTAATTATTATTATAAGTTTAATATTATATAATTAATATTTTATTATTATAACTTTTATATTTTATATTTTAAATTAATTAAAATATTTTAAATAATTAATATTATTTTTATAAATATAAATTTATCTTAATTTTATTAAACTTTTAATAATTTTAATAATTTAAACAATTTATTATATATATTACTTATATTTTTAAATATTATTTAAATAAATTAGTATAAAATAGTTAATAGTATCTGTATATATATAAAAGTAGGTAAATGAAAATAAATACCTTTCCTGCTTATTTTTATTTTAATCTTTTCTTTTTTCCTTACTTATTATCTGCTTATAAATTACATTTATTTTATATATAAAATTATATTTTTTAAAAATACTTTTATATTATTTTATTATACTTATTTTAATTAAATTTCTTTATTAAGTATATAGCTTTATAAAGCTTATAAGTTTACTTAAATTATATAATGTTTTTAATTATATTTATATTTATTTTTAAAAAAAAATTTAATATATTTAAGTAAAATAAAGAAATATTTATTAAACACTGTATTTTATTATTTTTTAATTATTTTATTTTTTAATACTTATAAGCATATAATTAAAATAAAAATTTTAAAATATAGTATTAATAATATATAT